AACCAACTCCACGGCACATAACAACAACAAAGATTTACAGCCTCAGAAACCCTATGCAGGGTCGTTATGAGTCGGAACCAACTCCACTGCACACAACCACCACCACCACCATAGATCTATTGTTGGCTTGTAAACTGAGCCACAGGGGTGAGTTCAGTTTCAGACCTAAAGGCTGGGTGGTGGAGGTGGTGGTGGTGGTGGTGGTGGTGTGCCGTGGAGACGTGGTATCTGCCGAGAAGAGTCTGAGTGGATTGAACTTTCCCTTTGTCTGCTGCTCCTAGCCGTCTATACCATTATACTACCTAGTACTTGGTATGTCAGAATTTGCTGGGAGTTTGAGTTGTTTTATGCTAGTCTGTCTTCCTCCCATGATCATGTCCTGTCTCAACTTGGATATATCTGTTTTTCCTCTGATTTAAAACTAGTTGGTTGCCTTGGGATCTCAGCTTTCTGAAGGGCTCATGGAAACTTGTAATTTTGTAGATTTAACATTTGTTAGGTTAGAAAAAAGTGCTCTTTCCAGTTTTCTAAACTCTATTCGGAGTTTTGGTGTTGTGCTGTAGGATAAGCATTGCACTACAAGGCCGGCTTGAACCTCAAGGTTGGAGGTTCAAACTCACCAATCACTCCTTGGAAACCCTATAAAGCGTTGCTATGAGTCAGAACTGACTTGATGGCATTTAACAACAACCAGTCCTATTCAGAAGTTGGAGATCCTGGCGCTTTCTTTATCATAAGGTTTTACATTACTTACAGATTCGATTTCTTTAGCAGATGTAGGGTTATTATGATTTTTTTATTTCTTCTTGGGAGCCCTGGTGATGTATGGGTTAGGTGCTCACTAGCCACAAGGTCAGCAGTTTAAACCCAGCAGACACTCCATGGGAGAAAGCTGAGGCTGTCTGCTCCCTTAAAGATTTCCAGTTGCTATGAGTTGGGAGCTACCTGATGACCACGGACTGGTAAATTCTTTTTTAACGAGAGTCTGTCCATTTTACCTACAGTTTAAAATTGTTTCCATAAAGGCTGTAACAATTTTTAATGTATGAAGAATCTATTTGAATCAATAATTTGAATCAAATTGCAATAATTGTTGTTGTTAAGTGCCGTTGAGTCGGTTCCGACCCATAGCAACCCTGTACAGGGTTTCCGAGGGTGTAAATCTTTACGGGAGTAGAAAGCCTCATCTTTCTCCCGCGGAGCGGCTGGTAGTTTCAAACCGCTGACCTTAAGGTTCGCAGCCCAATTCGTAACCATAACCATTTACATTTAAAGTAATTAATGCTCTATTTGGGTTTAAATTGACCATCTTGCTATTTATTTTTTATTTGTCTCACAATCCTTTGTCCCTTTATTCCTTTTTCCCTGACTTCTTCTAAATTAATAAGGAATAACTCTTTATAGGAGCAGAAAGTCTCATCGTCCTTCCAAGGAGCAGTTGGTGGATTTGAACTGCTGACCTTGTGGCTAACAGCCTACCTCATAACCCACCACACTACCAGAGCTCCAATCTGTTGTTGTTAAGTGCCGTTGAGTTGGTTCTGACTCAAAGCAATGGTGTAGAGTGTTTCCAAGGTGTAGCTGGTGGTTTTGAACTGCCGACCTTGTGGTTCGTAGTCCAGTGCTGATCCTACAGCGCCTCCCCAGGAGCGCCAACGGTCACTTATATTTACCCTTTTTGGTGTGCTTCCTGAATTTCATACTTCTATCTAGGGTCATTTTCCTTCAGCCAGAAGAATTACAGGACTTTTGTAATGTGGGTCTGCTGGAAACAAAGTCACTCAGCTTTTGTTTGTCTAAAAACATCTTTATGTTGTCTTATTTTTTAAACAGGATTTTCACTAGATGTAAAATTTTAGGTTCACTGGGTTTAAGAATGCTAATTCTGTTGTTTTTCCTTCAGCACTTCAAAAATATCAGCCTTAGATTTCAAAGCTGAAAAATCCAAAAATGGGTATTTTTTTTCCCATCTGACTAGTTTTAAGAATGTATTTTTACCTGATCTTCAGAACTTTGATGACTACTTCCTAGGTGCGCTTTTTGTGTTTATCTATTTGGGAGTTTGTTGAGCTTCTTTAATCTGTAGGCTGACTCGTGCATCAATTTGGAAACTTTCTGGCCATTACTTGTTCATCTTTATTTCTTCTTCATACGTCTCGTAATGTTTTATTGTTTGCAAGAGAGCCATAAAAGCGAAATTCAAGTCAATGCTATTCTCAAGAGAAAACAGTTTTCTCTTCCTGAAGTTAGGCAGATATGATGTGGGCCAGGTCTCCTCAAACCAATCAAGAACTGAACTAGGAGAGCACTTCTTGGCACCTTTAGCTAGACAGTCTTCCTTTGGTTTCAAATGTCTCAAGGGCAAGAGCTGTTGTGTGTTTGTGGCAAGACCCTCATTCTAGTGGGACTTTTCTTCTCAATACTCCCAGAGGCTAAGGGCTGTTTCCGTACAAATTTTCTGCGTCAATCTCCCAGAATGCCTTGTCCTCCACCAGGAAAACCAACCATGCATCTAGAACTGTCCCAGAGTCCAGAGTGTATCTCAGCCCACAAGTCAGTGCTGACTGGTTTCTCTTTCCTGAGTAACGCTACTCTACTTTTACTAAGCCCAGTTCTCAGCCTGGACCTTGATTTGGAAATTTCTCCCATGGATATAAATGGCTGCCCATTCCCACTCACCTACGGAGGGCTCTTTCAGCTCTAGATTTTATTTCTTTGCTTCTAAGGAGCTCTGGTAGCGTAGTGGTTACGAATCGGGCTGCGAACCTTAAGGTCAGCGGTTCGAAACTACCAGCTGCTCCGTGGAAGAAAGATGAGGCTTTCTACTCCCGTAAAGATTTACACCCTCAGAAACCCTGTACAGGGTCGCTATGGGTCGGAACCGACTCGACGGCACTTAACAACAACAACAGCTGTGTAATGTGATTAAAAATAAGATGTCAACAGTTCACATGCAAAAGCTGGACCGTGAATAAGGAAGACTGCACAAACGGCCCTTTGAGTTGAGGTACAGGCAAAGAATGTGGAATATGTCAAAGACTGCCAGAAGAGTGAACAAACGCTCTTGGAAGAAGTACAGAATGGTGAGACTTCGTCTCTCAGGCTTTGGACATATTGTCAGCAGGGACCAGTCCCTGGAGAAGGACATCATGTTTTGTAAACTGGAGGGACATCAGAAAAGAGGAAGACTCCCAATGAAATCAACTGACACAAAGGACTCTAACAATGGGCTCAAACATTAACAACTGTGAGGATGGCACAGAACCGGGCAGTGTTTCGTTGGCATAGGGTGCATAAATCACGGTGAGTCAGAACTGACTCAACAGCACTTAACAACAGAGATCGCATTTAACATGTTATACCTTTTTCACGTCATGGTGTGCAACTCTTAACTTTCTGCTACCTGTTACTTCCTATCTGGTCACAGAAGTTTCAAAAAAAATTTTTGTTTAAAAAAATGTCAAGCTTCTCAGTATGGCGATCAGAAGTCTTCATAATGAGATGATGCTCATGAGAATACACCCCAATCTTTCATCCCTGAAATCCCATGGTCCTCACCCTAGTCACTGAACCACCCTTTTGTTTTTCTGACTTGATGCTTTTACTCCTTTTGTCCTGTCATTCTATGCCTGGTTCATACTTACTGGTCTCTATGGCTACTTCCCCAGGGTAGCCTTTAGTGATCTGGCTCAGTCTACATTTCTGTAACCCTAATTTTCTTTCTAATTAGGAGTTCCAGCAGCACAGCAGGTAAAGTGTTGGGCTGCTAATTAAAAGGTTGGTTCAAACCCATCAGGTAGCTGTTCAGTGGAATGAGGATGAGGCCGTCTACTTCCATAAACATGTACAGCCTCTGGGCCCCTATGGAGCAGGTCTACTCAGTGCTGTAGGGTCACTGTGAGTTGAGATTGACTTGAAGGCAGTGTTGTTTTTATTGTATGGCTGTTTCATTTTTCATACTATTATTGCTTCTTTTCTGAACATAACTGTAAGGTTTCTACCATGCTGTAATCTTGACCTTTGCGTGCCCTACAGTGCCCAGGACAGAGCATATTTTAAAAATTGATCAAATCAAATACTGACCAAGTGTATCGTTTGCATTTTAATATGAATGAATTCCTAAGCTGAGACTGCTCTGGATACATACACTTCTGTCTTCCATGTCATAAAGTCACATCTCCAGTGTCTAAATGCTGCCATCTCACCATTTTGGGGGTGTTTTCTTCATCTTTTCTCCATTTCCTCTGTCCTATAACTCACAGTGGACCGTGAGTCTGGTTTCATTGTGACTTCTCTTCAGCTACAAACCTGTCCTTAGCAGGCAGTGCACTCACCACACACAATGATGAAATGCAGCCTTGACCCTGTTGTATCTAGAGACTCAAGCTTTATCCTCCATCCTAATCACTGTCAGAATACAAGTTCTCCATCTGCTAATCTTTTTGTTTCATTCATGAGTTCTGAATTTGATAGAGAGGTATACTATTTCTTTGACTTTTCTGAAGACTTCAGTACTCTGGATAGTGTTAACTCATTCAGGGATGAGGGAGGGCAATGTCAACTCAATGTGGACAAAATGAGCAAAAGGATCATGTCAGAAAAACAAGAGGGTTGTTCAGTGACTAGGGTGAGGACCATGGGATTTCAGGGATGAAAGACTGGGGTATATTCTGATGAGCATCATCTCATTATGAAGACTTCTGGTTGCCATAGAGAGAAACCAGACACCTTTGCTTGGTCAATGCCATCTGTTGTTTTTCTATTGTTTCAGATGAAAATAATATGAATGGCTGAATCTAGGCAAGAATCGAGGTCTCTTAACTTTCAATCAAGAAAATGGTCTTTTGTTCACTATTTTGACCAAAGAAAGAGAAAACAGTTTTTTCCCCAAGCCATAGGAGCTACGTTTGGCAACACACCAAAATTATGATTTGGCATTATATGTTAAAGATACAAATTTTAATTTCTGCCTCCTTCATTTTCGAAATGGCATGTGTTACCTTTATAGGTAGGGACAGTTTCCAACTTTCCTCTTTTAACTTGTCTTTCCAAAGGCCGGACTATCGACACAGGCTGTACTTTATAAGAATTAAAATCCCGTTTGTAGGTAGTACCAAGATCAATCTCCCCAGCTTTGGGCTTATATTCTTCTGGTGCATGGCGAGGCTGTTTGACTATTTCATAAGGACGATAATCTGACCTGAAACATATAAATTGGAAACATAGCCTCATAGGTTCTTTTATTTCTAATTATTTCAATACAGTATTGAAAAGTTCCAGAATTTTTTACTTGAAAAATATACGGAAAATTTAAAATAGTGACATTTCATATACAGCTTGAAAAAAAACAAATTAATTCCTTTATAAGGTTCTATCCTGTGATTAAACAAACATGTTAAGAAAAGTAAATATATCAAAAATTCTAGTTTTCAAGGCATCATTACAATAGATCCTCAGTTAATTGAGTATTAAATAAAATCTTTAAGTAATTGATTTTTTTCTGGCATGAAGAAAATCTCAGGTGGCTTGATGAATCAAGAAAATGATAAAAACATACCCCTTGGGTCCATTTAAAATCTTTATTTATCCTGCTTAAAGATTCTAGTAAACTATCCAGACAAACTGTGTTCTAATTGAAGTCATGCTGTCGTCCAGCCTTTAGGCATAAATCATACCCACAGTATAGATGTGAGTCTTACTCAGCAGAATGGGTTCTTCCAGAAGTCCTTGACATAGATGCAGACACATGGAATCCAACTGGCCTGGCTCTTACAGAGCTCTATGTGACAGAGATAGTATTATAGGCACTGAGGCAGGCAGTCTGCTGTCGTGAAGACTCGTGGGGATCTGGCTCCAAATCCTAGCTTAGGCATTCACTACCTGCATGATCTTGAGAAGTTAGTTAACCTGTCTATGTCTCAGTTTCCTCATATGTAAATGGAACAAGAATATCATCTACCTCATAGGGTTGTTTTAAGGACACACACACAATTTAAAAGTGTTTGGTACATAGTAAGGGTAATGTATTTGCTTTCTAGTTATGATTACTTCAAGTCATTTTATGATTCTTTTAAGCTATTTTATATTAATCATTATTTTCAACATTGTTGTTGTTGTTGTTAAGTGCCGTCGAGTTGGTTTCAACCCATAGCGACACACCAAGCGACAACCCATAGCGAACAGGGTTTCCGAGGCTGTAAATCTTTACGGGAGCAGATTGCCTCATCTTTCTCCCGCAGAGCAGCTGGTAGTTTCGAACTGCAGACCTTGCGGTTCGCAGCCCGATTCGTAACCACTACGCTACCAGAATATATAAAACACATAAGAACAAAAGCTTAGTTAAGTTCCTCTCCCATTTGCAACATAACTAATTATACTTGTTGATTCCATTCCTCACTTTCTATTCTCTCTATGCCAACTTCAGTTTAGTTCCCAGTACTGCGACATTCCCAATACAGCTTTATGGTCCACAAGGACGTCTATGTGATTCAATCCGTCAGGCATTTTTAGTTCTCAATTTACTTGATCTCGCAAGTAGTAATTAACATTATTGCATACTCCCAGTATTTCCAAGAAATTTTCTCTTCCTGCCTCTCTGATTATTTTCTCCAGGTCTTTAACATAGTAAGTAGCATTCTCTTCTACTCGGTTATTCAAGCTCGGAGTTCATCAGTCTTGAACCTACTCAGTCCCCTCTTCTCATCCTGAGGTGAACTCCTTGACTCTCACAGCTTTACTAACTACAGAAATGCCTCAGATTCACAGCTCACCCCAAACCTCTTCGCTGAGCTCCACATTAGTATGTGCAATGGCCTCCTGAATATTCAAGGGCACCTCAAAATTCAACATGTGCCAAATGAAATTATTGCCCCAATAAATCTTCTTCACTTCCTTCTTATCTTAGTGGATGGCACGGCCATGTCTTCAGCTGCACACATAGAAGCCTAGGACTCATCGTCCACACCTCACCTTGTCCAGTATCCAGTCCATCAACTCCTATAGTTGAACCTATCAATTCTGCCTCCTAAATAGCTCTCAAACCTAACCACTTTTTTCCATTTGTACCATCATATTCCAAGCTTTCATTAATAGCTCACTCAAACTACACCAAAGTGTCCTAAACTCATTACCTGCATCCATTCCAGTCTACTCTCCAGTCTTTTCTCCATGTACCTGGATCTTTTCACATGTAAATCTGATCACCTCATTCTTGTTCCATTTCTCTGCTTACCATCCCAAAAAGGAAACATAAGCCTTTAATGGCAATTTATGCTCTAAGAATATAGAAGAAAACAAAACAAAAAACCCTGAAGACAACACACAAGGCCATGCCTGGTCTCCTTTAATGAGGCTCAGACCACATGGTGCTTCTTCTTGCTAATTAGCCATTGAGACTGGCCTACTTCCTATGCTCCTTTCTGCTCCATGCTACTGCTTGGATACACTGCCTTTCCCTCTCAATGCAGTTCGCTGCTGTGCACCTCTCAGATCTTAGTTCATGTCCCATTGCTCTGCTGAATCAAAAATGAAACTCTTATTCGGATGCTAAAGGAACCGTGTGCCTATCCAGCATACCTTTCACCACTGTTGCATTTTTCTAATTTTTTCGAGTCATCTTTTCAACCAACACCTTTGCTTCACTAGACAGAAAATTCTGCCAGCAGCTCAGAGATTATGGCTGCTTTTCCTGACTCTGTCACAGGGGGCTAGCAGAGTGCCTGGCACTTAATCGAGGCTCTGCTCCTTAAGACACCTGAGTTGTTCTTTGCTCTTTCCAAATACAGCTAGAGGGGATTGGCTAGAATGCAATCAACAGGTGGGAGAATCCGGGAGAGAAGGGCAGAAAGTTCAGAAGTCTTGGTTTCTCTGCTTAGACTCGGTAAGTGTTAGAGAGTATACCTTCAAATCCAAAGCAGCCTTCAATGAAGAAATAGTAAAAGGTGAATGCAATCATGCTCATCCAGTATATCTGGAAACCTTTGAATTGTCCAGCTGCGTACTCTTTTAGGACAAACTTCCTGTCAGTTCTCTGACACATGATACTGTACTACCGTAACGCTCTGCCTGAGCAAGAATCTTGTACAAGTCCGCCGTGTTTCTTAGTCTCTCCCTGTATACTAGACATCTATGAGTAGACACCTTATTCTTTTCATGACCAAAGGCTACTTGAACAGTTCAAGTCAGCTGAAGAAACCTAGAACTGAAAAACAATCCTCTCTTTTAACTTTCCCGATTTTAACATTTAGAACTGGTTAAAAACAAAAACTTTATTCAGTAAATATAAACAAGGTGAGATTTACAAGGGTAAGTAAAAACGTAGTGCAAAATCATAGAAACCTTTATTGAACAAAAGTATCAAAATATAAAGCTATCATTTCTCTTTATGTATCCTCTGTCAAAGTGCATACACTTCTAGGTGGTATATCCAGCCCTAGCACTTCCCACAAGAATTCTGGTCTCTTTGGTTATCAACATCAATTCAGCAGCTTTGGCATTCTTCAGGGACCCAAATTGTGTTCCTTTTCAATATCTTTAGAGTTACGGGAGCAAAAAGAACTTTGATGGGGCAAGATCAGAGCCGTAAGGTGGCTGCTAAGGTTTCTCAATGAGATTCTTATAGGATAGTCCGTGCTACCCTTGGAAACTGAGTAGGTACATTGTCTTGATGGGAGAAAAAAAAAAAAAAAAATCCCGAAGTGCGACTTTCCCGGACTATTTCTCACAGTGTAGTTTTCAGTGTTCTGAAAACTTCTTCATAAGCACGCGTGATGGTGGTTTATCTGCCCTTTGAGGAAACCCTACCAGATTATCCCTTCGGAGTCCCCAAACAGTTGCCATAACCCTTCTGACTTGGCTCTGGGCCTTGGATTTAACTGGCCCAGCAGATCCCTTTGAAAGTCAGTTTTGATTGGACTTTTTTGTTTTTGAAGGCAGCCCAGTGAGACCAAGACAAGTGTGCTCCTGGGAGCACGTGTCTGAAACCATTTCCTGATTACAGAGATATACTTAAACACATTTTGTTTGGCATACACTTACACATGTATGAACTAGAATCCCTGTAGCTATACTTTCTGACTCATTCTCATGTGTCAAATCTCCTTTATGAACCATTGAGCCATCAAGAAGAAAGAACATAAGGTGAAGAGACAAAGAATAACCCTTCCTATTTGTTCTATGCCAACACAGTTTTTCATTTCCTCATCTCATTTACTCTGGAGTCCTGGTATGGCACTTTAGGATAAGCACTGGACCACAAGGTCTGTTTGAATTGCAAGGTCAGCAGTTCAAATTCATGAACTGCTCCTTGGAAACCCTATACAGGGTCGCCATGAGTCGGAACTGACTCAACAGCACTTAACACCATAATAACCACCACCACATTTACTGTAATTTTTAATTATGTCTTACCTGATTATGTCTTCCTGGACTTCCTACCCCACAGGATTGTAAACAGCAGTAGGGTGAAGCCCTTCTCCATTTTATGTTCCACGTGGTCTCTGGGGATTAGCCTGACGCCTGACTGTCATGGATTGAATTCTGTGCCCCCAAAATGGGTCACTTGGCGGGGCTGATTCTCAGTGGCTTGGCAGTTTTGTGATGATGTAATGTTACCTGATCTTCCCTCATGATGTGATCAATCTGTCAGAGGATTAAGGGTGGGGCACAACACCCTAATCCCAGCCCAGCCCTGACATGCTGGAAGTGGACTATCCCTGGGGTGTGGCCTGCAACACCTTTGACTTACAAGAGATAACAGGAAAGAGAAGTGAGCAGAGATTGGAGGAACCTACTACCACCAAGAAGGAAGAACCAGGAGTGGAGTGCACTTTGGACCTGCGCTGTCTGCACTGTGAAGCTGTCAGATCCAGGGAAAGAAAGATACATGGGGATTTCCAGGGAATGCTGGATCTATACATGCTGACCCAGAGCCAGTGTCTGAATGTAGACTTCTGGTCTCCTAAATTGTGAGACAACAAATTTCTGTTTGTTAACGCCTTGTGGCATTTCTGTTCTGGTGTACTGGATAACTAAGACACGGACCCAGTGCAGCCAGTCTGTGTCACAGCAACGGATATGCAGTGCCTGTCACAGAGGCTGACTCCAGGACTCACTCCATCACCCGCTGGCTCGGTTGTACGGAGTTCTGAAATCTGTAGTCTTAACCTTTTTGGATGATTCTAAACATTCTGGATGATTCTAAACAAGCCAAAGTCTGATGACTTTGGAATGTCCTGTCATCTATGGAAAAGCCACACACCTACAGCAATAATTGGAGTTACCAGAGTACTATTAACTGTAAACACTGACTGAAATTAAAAGTAGAAATGATCTTTTATATGAGATATGGAGAATAGACAAGTGCATAGAGACCCAAGTGTATTAGTGAACTGGAACCCCGGTAGCAATTCTTTTGACGTACCCTCAGATTTCAAAGTTCCTTTACAAACCATTAAGGCATCAAGAAGAAAGCAGGTTCAAAGGAATAACCATTCTTATTTGCTTTGTGCCATGCAATGATTAAATTTCTTCACCTCATTTATTTCAATTGTTCATTATTACGTTTAGGTTAGCAGGAGTGTAAAATGGGGCACGGTCACTTAAGGGGTACTGAGTTCTGTTAAGGGTAATGCAAAAGTAAAAAGTGCATAGTTATGGTGGTGGCTCAGTACAGTGAGTAGAAGTAACGTCACTGAGTTGTACAAGCAGAAATGGCTGAAATGGTCAATGTTTTGTTACATATATTCCACTTTTTTTTTTTTAAGTAGACGCGATGAGCTAAGGTTTGAAGGTTTACACCTTTGCTTCATAAGTAGAATGAACTCTATATGATACATATTGGGAATGACTGGAAATGACTAAAATTAAATCGGCTAGAGAGCATTTTTTTAAGGAGTCCTGGTGTGATGCTGTGGGTTAACGTGCTGGACTGCAAAGTCAGTTTGAACTGCAAGGTTGGCAGCTCAAGCTCACCAGTCACTCCTCAGAAACCCTATCCAGCATCGCTGTGGGTCGGAACTGACTCAATGGCACTAAACAACATAGAGCACTTTTCATAACTCAGAATTAGAGAAAACTGATATGAATTCCCTGAAAGCAGGAACTTTTTTATGCTAAGTGCTGAAGATTGTGCCTTAAATATCTATGCATATTAAATCAATGACTTAGTAAATAAAGTAATTCACCTACCATGTTCACCAAAATACAAAGAGGTGAAAAAAGCTAGTCCAAATGAAAACTTCCAACTGAGGACTTTCTTGTTCATCTCCACTAAAAAAACTACTGAATGAACACTACATGATACTTAGTATTGTACTATTGTTGAGGTGCTGGGGAGTCAGTTCCAACTCACAGCAACCCTGCGTAGTGCTTCCAAGGCTGCGAATCTTTAAGGGAGCAGCTGGTAGGTTTAAACTACCGACCTTCTGGTGAATAGTCAAGTGCTTACCCTACAATGTCACACAAGGACTATAGTGTTTTACTGTTGTTATTAGGCACCACTGAGTCAGTTCCGATTCATAGCAATTCTGTATAGGTTTCCAAGCAGTGGCTGGTGAGTTTTAACCACCAACTTTGTGGTTCTAACTGATCTTTCAGGCCAGTGCTTATCCTACAGTGCCCCACAAAGTATTGGAAATGCAGGATTAAAACGGACATCATTCCTGCTTCCATAGACAATGAAACAATTCTAATGATCAGTAGTAGGACAGTGCTCACAGAAGGGAACGCCACCTATCCGGAAAACGGAGTGATGCGTCATAGGCAGCTTTCAAAGGAAATGAAGAACTGAACACCTGAATTGTGTGGGCCTCAACTAGCAGAACAGAGAGGGGAAATTCCAGCAGAGCAAATTGTACGTTGAAAAGATCTGTGACAAGGGAAAGCTGGTCCTTTCAAAGAAATGGAACAAAGGCCTCGTGATGGGAGCATGAAACAGTGCAAAGGCCACGGCAGTACAATTCAGGCTGCAGGTAAAAGACCTAGACTCAGATTTGGGTACGGATTTTGTTCTATGTCAAACACAATGAGAAGGTACAAGAATTCTAAGCAGGGAGATGATCGGACTAGATTTGCATTTTATTTTGGCAGGTTATAGTATAAGCAGCAGGTCAAGAGATGCAGAAATTAGAGCAGATACACATACGACCATGAGGAAGGCAGGGAATGTGTTCAGGTGCTGGTAACAGTGGGGAGCAGGTGACATGATTTTAGAAGGTTAAAAAAAAAAAAAAAATCAATACAACAACTTCTTTTCTTTTTCTCTCTCTTTGCCAACCTAACTCAGTTTTCATCTGTTTTTCTTAAGTTGTGACTGAACTAGTTTCTTGCTTCTGGTTGGTTCAACTTGGATCAACAAACACAATCAATTAAAATGGTAAGAAAACCCTACAGTTGGGAAGAAAAGAATTAAAGCAAGGAGTTGCTGAATATTTACTGAAATGTTGTTATCCCTTCCATTTTGCCACGGCATGCTCGGAATTCTTGCTTGGGTTTCAGGCTCTTCAGTGGAAGTACACTGCCGTATGTATGGTATTTTTCCAAATACTCAGTGGTGGGGTAAGGCACGCCAGAATGTTCATAAATCCTTGTGTTTCCATGTGGACAATGATGCCGTCTGTACAAACACAAATGCGCTGAGATTATTTACAGCATCATGACATTTAGTGTGGCGGCTACACTTAAATCAGAGACCTCAGATAAACTCAGAATACATCATTTTAAAGCAGTTTTACTTAAAGCGAAATAAAAAAAAAAAACCCAAACCCTCCATTTCTTCGGCAGTGCTGCTCATAAACCAATGAATAAGTTAGGGTATGTCCTTGTTGTTGTTGTTATTAAGTGCCGTTGAGTCAATTCCGACTCGTAGTGACCCTGTACAGGGTTTCCAAGGAGTGACTGGTGGGTTTGAACCAAAGACCTGTGGTTCGCAGTCTAGTGCTGATCCAACAGTAGCACGCCGGGGCTACATGGTATGTCCTAAGGTGGGAGAAACTCTGGCTTTGCTCTAACAAGTTGGTTAGCTTTCTTATGCCAAAGAAGCTGAAAAGGTACCAAGTGTGTTTCCTGCACCCTTTGCAGGGAGCTTCCACGTACCATTTAGGCTTCACATAGTTTTGTTGTTGTGCCGTGGAGTGGGTTCTGACTCACAGTGACCCTGCATAGGGTTTCCAAGGCCGTAAATCTTTACGGGAGCAGCAGAAAGCCTCATTTTTCTCCCGCGGAACAGCTGGTAGTTTTGAACTGCTGACCTTGCGGCTCGCAGCCCAATTCATAACCATTACACTACCAGAGTTCCTTATACTCAAATAGGTCTTTGATTCGTAGCAGTTACACAGGGAGAGAAAAAGGGCACACGGCATCCATTTTGCTAGTATGGATTGGGGTGAAGACAAAAAGATGTTGGAGTTGGTAGTTGTTAGGCAGGGTCTTGAGTTGCAAGATGGCTTCCTGAGTTAGCAGCTTGCTAATCTTGGCAGACAGGCACAACCAAGTCACCATGCTTTGTACCTAGGTTGGCTGGTTGTTTTTGTTTTTTTGGAAAAGTTGTAAATTCAGCATATTATGTTTATTATTGGAGTCCTGGTGGGGCACTGCAGGATAAGCACTTCCATGAGGTTGGCAGTTCAAACACACCAACCATTCCTAGGAAACCCTATACAGGATAGCTATGAGTCAACAAGAAAAACATTAACAATGTTTACATTACAATGACTACAATACATCCTTGACTGCTGGGGTCACTTCCTGTGCAGGAAGTACCTTTTCTTCTCTTGGGTTTAACATGACCCGGTGTGGCGCTGTGGGTTAAGGCAGCAGACTGCAAAATCCTTTGAACTGCAAGGTTGGTGGTTCAAGCTCACCAGCTGCTCCTTGGAAACCCTATACAGGGTCGCTATGGGTCAGAAAACAGCACTTAACAAGATATTCTCCAGATGTGGCACTGCAGATTTCAGCAGTGGACTTAGAACTACATGGTCATCAGTTCAAACCCACAAGTCGCTCCTCGGAAACTCTACACAGGGTTGCTATGAGTTAGAACAGGCTTGACAACACTTAACAACAACAAAGTATTCAAGGAGTTCTGGTGTGGTGCTGTAGGATAAGCACTGAACCACAGGGTCAGTTTGAACTGAAAGATCGGTGGTTCAAACTCACCAGTTGTTCCTCCGCAATCCTATGCAGGGCCACTCTGATTGGAAACCGAGTGGATGGCACTTAACAACAACAAGGTATTCAAGGTAAAAGGTTGCTAGCCTCCAGGTTAAGTAAATTATCTTTACTTTTACTCTATCAATTATTAATACTTAAAATTATTTTAAATTTTACTGTCTCATTTTAAACCCTAATTTTACTGTACAACTTTTCCTTTTCCTAGAGCTTCTAGTGCCCCTAATGGGACTTGTGTTATTTGCATTGCACAAGTCCGATACAGATTTCTCATCATAGGGATCATCGGTTTACTGAGTCCTCTTGTTTCATGGTAGGCTTCCACAACTAGTATCTTCGCTTTCCCGAGACAAGTCATTGAATTTGTCTCTGTTTGGTTGGGGCAGATGTAGGAAGGGGAGGTGGGAAGGACAATCATAGTGTTTGGGTTTCAGACTTCAACCTTTCTGTATACATTGTCCCCTTCGGCCCTCTACTGAACCTATAAATTTAGACCAGCGTCTGTCTCTGCCCTCTACGGCCGATGGCTCCATGCCTAATTCCTCTGTAAAAGTGTGCCTATCTTCACCTTTCTAGCTTTCAAAAATCTGTTGACATCTCATGTTGTTGAGTCCTCCTTGCATTCAGTTCAGTACCATTATTTCTATCTTTTTTTTTATGTTTTCATTTCAGGAGGTCCTAGGAAAGGAACGAAGAAAATTGTATTTATCTGCTGTCATGAGTTTGAGGTACAAGTCAAGTGACTTCCTATAGTCTCAAACATCATCCTCTCTCTTCCCTTTCAACTTTCACCCAACAATTCCCACCAGGTTACTGTTACCATGTCGAAATTTTTTTCTAGCATTCTCCAACTTTATTTACCAATATAAAATAACCCATTGCAGTTTAACTTACATGAGAAATAGTATAAACACAATGCAGCGGAAAAATATGAGAGATGGGGCATTCCTTTGATTCAAATGTTGTTGTTAAGTGCTGTCGAGTCATTTCCGACTCACAGCGACCCTGTATAGAGTTTCCGAGGAGTGGCTGGTGAATGGATTGGGACCTGTAATTTAGACACTGACTATCAAAAATCGGGGTGCTATAAAGGCACAAAGTGGCTGGCTTACAAGCTTTCATGGGTATGCTTAGTTTCAGAATGAAGGGGCAAGGTAGAAACCCCACTGAATAATTTTCCTGTTTTCCAGATGGATCTGGTCAAAGGCGATGATGGTGATAGGATTTCATTATTCAATTGTGAGTAACTGTTAGTAGGATAGTCACATCTGTAATTGTAGAAGCTGTGTAACTAAAATAGGGGTATCATTAATCTTTCATTTCAGGACAGAGGATCCCAGCACCATCAAGAAAGAAGAGTGTGAGTGGGGTGTGAGACCCTATCCAGGAAAGCCGCGACAGCAGAGATGGTGGCATTGGCGATGACATAGTGATAAAGAGCAGCTGAGGACTCTAGGCCCACGGACGGAGAAAGGCTGTATGCCTGTGTGCTGGAGGCTGGTTTGCAGAATTGTGCCCTTTAGGCATTTAAATGAATATATATATTTTTGTCTTGTATGTGTACACCAAGTATTTTTGCTTTTGTTCATTTGTGAAAAATAAGATCCAAAAGGAAAGCCACTGGGTGGAAGCAGGGTAACTTGTTACAGATAGTGGAGTGTAAACACTGAGATGAAACAAAATGTAGGATAGGTTGAAAGTAAAGCCTGATGATCCTGTCTGTTTACCTTGGCGCAATTCACAATAAAAAGTTAAAACAAACAAATAAAATTCCCTCAGATGGAAAGAGGAGAAAGGGAGCCCCTGACATCAGGACGACTGAATTTCCTGAAAGCTGGATAGGAAAGGCATTTGGATTGTATATAAATGAATTTAAAGATTAGAAAAAGGAATTTAAATGTTCTTGTACAAGTTTGCAGATTCATAACGCAAATATTAATTTGATCATCTTTTAATCAACATCTAATCACAAACAGGAGTCCTGGTGTGGTGCTGTGGGTTAATGTGCTGGACTGCAAAGTCAGTGGTTCAAGCTCAACAGCTGCTCCTTGGAAACCCTATACAGGGTCGCTATGGGTCGGAACCTACTCAACGACATTTAACAACAACAGCAGCAACAATCACAAACAATGATTATTCTGAGACTGGGGAGAAACTGCAGTGGCAAGGATTACTAGTACTAAGTGACTGGCAATCATAATATCTGTTTTGCAAATAATGATCTAATCCCTGGGTCAACATTGAAAAGGCAGTAGAAGACTGTGTTTGTAGGTGGTAGGAGGTTGCTGGGCGGGTCTCACGGACCAACTCTGGGCTTCAGGGTGGGGACTACGACCTCTCTGCTCAGGAGGACCCCAGCCAGGGTTGTCTGGATGGGAATGGGAACATGGTCAGCCTTGGAGCCTGGAAAGCAAGGTTGTAAATGCAGGACCATGCGCAAGGTTTTTCATTGGGGGTCATGCACTCTCCCAGCCGAATCTGACCATTTTCCACCTTACACCAGGTATTAGCTGCGGAACCCCAAGGCTGTTCGGTTAGCATCACTGAATGCAAACTTCTGCTTGGCCATCAGTAGCCAGCGGGTGCACAGCGTGCATTCGGTGGATCCTGGTTGAGTCCTGGTCCGCGCATCTCAAGGTTGGAGTTCCCTACCAGGTCGCCTGCACCCCCTAAGATCCCCAGCATGGCTCACATAGCCCACACTAGCCATTTCTTACCCGCAAGTACAGATCTGACAAAGACAACGACTCCTCATCTTCTCAGCTTGCAGAGCCTCCTCCGCAGCTCCTCAACTCAAGCTGCACCTCGGGTTTCTCAGAGCCCGCCGTAACCAAGGCAACCGGGGGATCCCGGGAGACCGACGCGGCACCGCCTTCCGGTGACGTCAGACCCGCGCCCGGGTCAAAGGCTGTGCGCCAGTTAGCCCCGCCCCTCGCACGCCGGTGTTCCGCATCCACCGAGCTTTTCGCGTCGGCGGCGTGCGTCCTGTGGCGGTGCACCGAGGGGCAGTCGTGGCTGGTCCGACTGCCGCTAGGGGTGAGCGTGGGGTCGCAGTGAGCGCTGGCGTCCCCCTCGGCCTCACCTTCCATTGGTGTTGGGGGTCGCGGTCGTCCCGGCGGTGGGTTGGGACCGGGGCTAGTGGCAGAGCCTCAGGTTGGGAGAAGTGCCCGTCCGAGTTGTCCCCTCCAGCCGGGGATGCGGGCGTGGTGGTGGCTGAAGACGTTTCTCTGTGGACTTTGGATCCTCAAAGAGACGAATCCAGGATCCCACGGGGATGCAGGGAATATGACCCACTACTCCTGACTCGTTTCCACTGACAGAGGGTTTCTGAGACTAAATCCTGAACTTTCTGCCGAAGCGGCCGCCTGGTTCAGACCACCAAGCTTTTGATTAGCCTAAGTCGGAACCGACTCCACAGTACTTAACAACAACAAGCTACAGAGCTGAATGGAATGTAGAATTATTTCCCTCGAAAGACCTTCAGCGCACCTGCTTGTTTATTACTAAGCGCAGGAACCAAAACTGTCATTTGGCCTATATGGGTAGTAATATACATGTTATTTCACCTCCAGTGAATACAAGGCCAATTGAAAAATGAAGATCAGGGAGCGGGATTAGCATAGTCCCTGCCTCTTGTAAGTGACTTTTTAAAGCATTCAATGGCCTGGAGAAGTTTACTCAAGTTCTTTTCGAAGCAGAATTACCGGTGTCTCTGTGCACCCAGCCCTCAGGAGCTGTGTGATTCACCGCAGCCCTGGCTTCCCGAAGAATGAGTAACACCCGGTACAGTCATGATATGATATTGATTCAAGTGCTAAAGCTGGACTTGGACCTGGATCGGTTGTTGTTAAGTGCCGTGGAGTCAGTTCCGACCCATAGCGACCCTGTATAGGGCTTCTGAGGGTTTCCCAGGAGCAGCTGGTGAGCTTGAACTGCCAAGTGGAGCCCTTCAATAAGGTTCATTGGGTTTAGTTTTAGAGACTTGAGAAGTCTTGTCACTTTTTAGCATTAAAACTTTTTTTTTCCCCCCTCAGCCAATATCTCCTGTGCTGTCTATAATATTTAAGTCACAGGAAAAGTAACCATGGTGCTCAGTAGCTTGGATAAGATGATTCAACTCCAGAGAAACACTGCGAACATCAGAAATATCTGTGTTTTGGCTCATGTTGACCACGGTAAGAGTCCTTTGAAAATCATCTTAAATTTCAATTTTATAAGGATGTGTCTTAGCGTAACTCTTGGAGTGAAGCTGTAGGCAATTGAAGATCTGTGCTAAGAAGCAAGTCTTACTCCTTTGAAAGTTTCAACGATGTAAAAGGAGCACCCAGTAAAGCATTTGAAATGAACTTGTGATATATATATATATATATATCATTGTTGTTGTTAAGTGCTGTCGAGTAGGTTCTGACCTATAGCGACTCTGTATAGGGTTTCCAAGAAGCAGCTAGTGAGTTTGAACCGCCAACCTTGCAGTTCAAACAGCTTTGCAGTCTGGTGCATTAACCCACAGCGCCACACCAGGACTTCACACACACACACACACTCACACACACACTCACTCTCTCTCTCTCTCTTTATATATATATATATCAATTGATAGATAGATAGATGGAGCACTGGTAGCGTAGTGGTTATGAATCAATCTGCGAACCGCAAGGTCAGCAGTTCAAAACTACCAGCTGTTCCATGAGCAAAAGATGAGGCTTTCTGCTCTGGTAAAGATGTATATGTATATATGTGCGTGTATGTATATATATATGTATATGCGTGTGTGTATATGGAGAGAGTGAGAGTGTGTGTGTGTGTGTCCTGGTATGGTGCTGTGGGTTAATGCATCACACTGCAAAGCCTTTTGAACTGCAAGGTCAGTGGTTCAAGCTTACTAGCTGCTCCTTGGAAACCCTATACAGGGTCCCTATGGATCGGAATTGACTCAACGGCGCTTAACTGCATTGTTAAGCTGACTCATACTGACCCTGTATTGGTTTTCCAAGTCTATAAAACTTTAAGGGAGCAGAAAGCCTCATCTTTCTCCCATGGAATGGTTGGTAGTTTCAAACTGCTGATCTTTATTTAGGTTAGCGACCTGACTTGTAAGCACTGTTCTACCAGAGATCCTTTATGGATATGTATTCTGTTGTTGTTAAGTGTTGTCGAGTTGATTCTGACTCATAGTGACCCTGTGTAGGGTTTTTGAAGAGCAGTTCCTGTGTTTGAACTGCCAACCTGTGGTTCGCCGTCCAGTGCTGATCCTGTAGTGCTGCACCAGTAGTCCTGTGTATTTGTGCTATATGTATGTATGTGTGTGTGTGTATGTTGTGAAGTGCTGTCGAGTCGGTTCCGACCTATAGCGACCCTGTGTAGGGCTTCCGAGCAGCTGGTGAGCTTGAACTGCCGACCTTGCAGTTCAGATGACTTTGCAGTCTGGCAGATTAACCCACAGTGCCACACCAGGAATACACACACACACACACACACACATACACACATACAATGCCACATTGGAGTCCTGGTGGGGCGCTGCAGGATAATCCACTGGACTGCAAGGTCAGTTTAAACTGCAAGGTTAGCAGTTCAAATCCACTAGCTACTTCTTGGAAACCCTATACGGGGTTGCTGTGGGTCGGAACTGACTCAACAACACTTAACAACAACAGTGCCATACTGCTCTTTAAACCAGAACTTAAGTTTTAGTTAAAGTACAATGAATTTGAGAAATGGCTTTGTAATATAATAAGTTTGGTGCATGGGTTTGGATTTATGGCAGGCCTGTCACCATGGACCTCTCATAGTGTCCCATGCTAGAGTAAACTGTAGCCCCGAACCAGTGCTTAGTAGCCTCCCTGCCCATAGGCTGCGGGCACTGAAGTGGGTTGCACAATGGAGGAAAAAGAAAAAGTCTATGGTATTGATGTAATGTCCTTAGAGCCTGTTTTGTATGGGCCTATTGAATTCATTAGAGTTCTGGTATGGCACTGTGGGATAAAGCATTGGACTGCAAGGTCGGTTTGAACCAAAAGATCAGCAGTTCAAACTCACCAGCCACTCCTTGGAAACCCTCTAAAGGGTTGTTGTGTGTCAAAATAACTCTATGGCACTTAACAGCAACAACATTGAATTCTTCATGTAGCTATGTTAAGATAAGTATCTGCTATACACACATATATATGTTTGTATATCAGATGCATATATCTGTACTACATACGTATCAGATACATATCCTAGTATATTAAGTCCTGGTGTGGTGCTGCAGGATAATGCACTGGATTGCAAGGTCAGTTTGAACCATAAGGTTAGTAGTTCAAGCTTACCAGCCGCTCCTCGGAAACTTGACAACAACAATATATACACACACACACTAAGATAAGATATATACCAAGTTGAAGGTATTTTGCTGGGTATGCCAGAAGACAAATTTATGAATAGGCCACCAGCTTAGCTTGACATATGATTTTTGGGGGTACTGCATCTTGTTTAGATGGTACTGTGGCCTATTTGGCCAGCTTCTTAGCCTCAGAATCCTTCTTAGTTCAGGTCAGCACAACTAAGTGTTGGAATGGACGTGTGAAATATGCTTATTGTCCCGAAGGTGGAGGAGTAGAAGGTGGAATACAGAGACAGGTTGGACCATACCTTGTAGAACCCTAAATGGTAAGATTTGTTTCTAAGTGCTGCCAATTGGTTCCTACTTGTAGAGACCCTGTATAGGGTTTCCAAGGAGTGGCTGGTGGATTTGAACTGCCAGTGTTGTGATTTGTAGTCCAGTGCCACGCCAGAACTGCATGTTAAGACTGGGCACAAGCTTGAGGATTCAGTTCTCTGGAGTTAGACAGCCTGAGTTCAGAATTCCATTTCAAGGTAGTTTGCGAACAGCATTGTGGTCACATAGGCTGAGAACTTGACCTTTCAGTTGAATGAGATGATGCTGAGAAGCCCTTGGCAGGGTGGTGAATCCTTAATCGTTAACTTGATTACCAGTATTTATTACGAGATCAGAGAGATCCATTTGGGAAGAAACCAAGCAGGGTTAATGCATTAAAGTAGTGCATTAGAAAGATTAGTAGAAATATTGAAGTGGCTTTTTGTCATTAATGTTAAGAGCTTGAAGTAACTGACAGCTGAAGTAAGGAGAGGGGTCAAGTGTCACTTCATAGGTGAAGCCAGCTGAGAATGAATCCTATAAAAATCCAGTGAGCGAACCCTCCCCCATAAGCTTGTAATTATGTTGCTCATATTTTGGTGTGCGGTCTAACAAGTTTTGTGTTTTTTACCTTTTGTGAATTCATAAGGAAAATGTGTATGTGTTTGTATAACCAATTGCTTTAAGTTTATTCTTTAAAATTACTTAAAACTGGTTGTTTTGGGGTACCACTGAGTCATCTCTGACTCATAGTGAGCTTATGTATAACAATGAAACACTGGCCTGTTTCGTCCTATGCCTGCTTCATAATTATTGCTATGCTTGATCCTATTGGTCAGTCCCTCTGGTTGGCAGTCTTCCTCTTTTTCTCTGACCCTCTGCTTTACCAAGCATGAAGTCCTTCTCTAGGGACTTGTCCCTCCAGATAGCATGTCCAAAACCTCACTTCTAAGATGCATTCCAGCTGCTTTCTTCTGAGACAGATTTTCTTCTTTTTTCTGGTAGTCCATGGTGTATTCAAACTTGGTACTAACCTAGAAAATAATATGATTTAGTCATTCAATCAACAAATATTTTTTGAGTATCTCTTACATTCCTAACATTATTTTGGTACTAGGGATACAGCCATGAGTACAACAAAGTCCCTGCTCTCTTGGCCTTTATGCAAACACAACACTGCTATCTAGTCTAGTGTGGTTCATAGGCTAGGGTAGAACTGTGCCTTGGGGTTTCTGAGGCTGTAAATCTTTACAGGAGCAGACAGCCTCACCTTTCTCCTGCGGAGTGACTGCTGGGTTTGAACCACAGACCTTGCGGTTAGCAGCCTAATGTGTAGCTCACGGCACCACCAAGGTGTATGTGCCTGCAGACTTAGAATGGTTTCCAGTCCATCAGACAGCAGGAAAGCGATGCCCTAGGATTGTATGTCAGCCTTGCTGTGCACACAACAAGCACATGTTATAGTGTTGGAGGTCCTCAGTGCCCCTCTTTGTTCGTCTGTGGTGTGAACTGGTAACCACACAGATCCCATAGCCTTGCCAGTCTTCCCAGCATATAACAAAGGACTTGCTTCTCGTGGAGAAGGGTTGGTATTCCAACCCTGCAGCATTGCTTGTATGTACCCAGACTGTTGTTGTGTATCTTAGTGTCTGTTCTGACTCATAGCAACCCTATAGAGGGCTTTTTTTGTTTGTTTGTTTGTTTGTTTGTTTTTAAGTATTGTGAAGTGAGTGATAGTTTTCAGGGGAGAGCATCGGCTTTACACCATTGTTTCATTGCAGTGATTACAAGCTCCACCATGCATCGTCACTCAATAGTATTTGCTTCCATTTTCCATTCCCTCTGATTTTTTTTTTTTTGGAAGGGGGTGATATACACAGAAACACTCAGGAATATATAATAATTTAAACAACCAAAGGGCACATTCTGCAAGCCTGCCTCCTGGCTGCCAGCACCCAGTCTCTCTCTTTCCATGAGTCCAGAGTCCTCAGCTACTCCCTCTCTCCATGTCCTCATCTCTGCCTCCATCTCTGGTGTTGCTGCTTCTCTGGATAGGGTCCCGCTTTCCGCTCATGCTCTTCTCCCTTGATGGTCCTACGGTCCTCTCTTTCTAGACTGTAAGATTAACTACTCCCCTCTTTTTGTTACAAAACTTCTACCTTTACATGTGGGAAATTGGGCAGCAGAGTATGTTCAGTTGTCTCTTGATGTTTTTCCCAGTACACCGTCTAGAGAGAGAACCTATTGCTGTGCTAGCCTCTTGTCATTCTGAGCTACCATTGTTTGTAGATGTGGTCACTCTTAGGGCTAGCAAATGAAAGAATTGTGATAAGTTTGATGAGTTCCTTTTGGAACAGATTATAGTACTTGTGCAGATGCTTGCTGTTCTGTATTTAGATATGGGTGCTGCTTTTCCTCTAGACTGTACACTTAAAACTGAACTTAATATGTAATATGTAAATTGTGCCTTAATGGATACCCAAAGCTCTCCACTTATAAAGAAATTCCTTGACAGCCTTCTTTTCAGGTGAGGCTGATGGACTTCACAGCTCTCTGAAGTACTGTGTCTTTCCAGGCCATGTCATGTTCACAACTCTAGCTCAACTTTTTAATATGCTTCCTTTGTTTCATCCAGTATTGGAAAACAGGAAATCTTTGTTAAACCAATTCTTATGGCTAGATGTGAAATCAGTAGATATCATATATCCTCTTCGCCTTTAAAACAAGGTATTGTTTTTATTTTAATTACAGGAAAAACTACCTTAGCTGATTGTCTTATATCTAGCAATGGAATCATCTCCAGTCGTCTGGCAGGCAAGGTATGTAATTGTTTTTAATAGATACTTATATTTCAGTAAGTATTTACTAGATGTCTATAGTGTGATGAACCATTTTCTTTGTTCTCTGGATATCCAAAAAAATTTGTAAAGTCTAGTTCTTGTATCTAAGAATCTTCAAATGCATTTAGGGAGATAGAATAGATGTTGATGAAAGCGTCTCTTTCTGTGCTGTTTTTTAATTGCCTTACATTAATAACAAGTCAGATGATAGGCTGACATGATTATGGGAGGTTTCACAGAGAAAGCAGTTCTTCACAAGTAGGTAATTTAGGGTATTTAAGGCGATGGCAGAGAAACTGTCAGGGAAAATGGCGTTAACGGGTAAAGGCTTATTGGTGTGCTGTGTTTGATTTGAGGGAAGCATTTGCTTAGAGAGTCATGGAAGGGAAAGCGTGTTGGTAGAAAAAATGGCACCAGATTGTAGAAAATCTTCAAGGCTGTGACCTAAGTGTACTACCATGGAAGGCATCTGAAGCATGGGGTCACGATGAAAGTAGGAATCACCTACAGACACCATCAAGGTGATTAGCTATGTCAACTGCTTTACTGAAGGGAAAGTGAGGATGGAAAAGGTGCTTTTTATGTTTGCACAGAAGGTCATTGGTAGCTTTTAGGAGTTTGGTTTCGCCAGAATGGTGGAAATGGAAGCCATTCTGGAAATGAAGGTTTTTAAGTGGATGAATAAATGTGGTAATTCCATATCGATGAATTTTTTTTGAGAATTTTGGATGAAGAAAATGAATATAGGTTAAGCTTAAAAACATTTCTTTTCAGAAATTTGTGAGGGAAAGGAAAAGATAATTCTGGAGAGGAAGGCTATTAGTGAGGTGCTTAGTACTGAAAGAGTTAGAACTCGTGACTTAAGTGGAATCTCTGTCAAGAGTGATGCCTGGTTCATTAGGTACAGGTCCGATTTGTGGGCTGTTAAGTTAAATCTAACTTTGTAAAAGCCATGAATGAAATGGTGATACTTTTATATTTTTCTACACAACTGTTTTGTTTTTTAAAAAAGCGTGTTTAAAATCTGCTTAAACGGTGTGAGTGAAGACTTTTTATATTTCTGGAGACCTTTCAACTTGTGAATAGAAAAAGAACAGGTGGACGGATGTGTCCAAGATGGCCTACTATGCAAACACACAACCCAGACCTTGTAGAACAAAGACTCACAACACCAAGTGGAATGGGTGCCAATGACAGGCCTGGAGACCAGAGTGCCGCAGCTTATCTTTACTGGTGATGCATGCCCTAAAGCTGCCTAACACTGTTGTGTGGAAAACAATTCAGCTTACACAGAGATACAAGACAGTTCCTTAGACAAGTGACCAAAGCATAGTCAGCAAATATAACACCAGAAATGGTACCAGAACTCACCTTATAAGGAATTTTAAAAGATGCTAATTAGACAACTTCCACAGATAGAGAAAACTACAGATGAAAAAATCAGGCAGAAATATGGAAAGAAACCGGAAACAAATTGACAAAATATTGAACAAATGGGAACCATACAAAATCAGCGATTGAGGACCAGAAGATTAGCACTGAGACTTCAGAAGTATATTATACACTGTAAGGGCAACAAAATAGAAGTGGAAGACACAGTTACTTAGCTGGAAGACAAATCTCTCAGTAATCAGCTGCTAGAAGAACAATCAGGAAAAAGAACAAAAAGAAATTTGAAGGAAGACAAAGATTTATGTGGGGCACTCTCAAGAGTGAGGAGTTCTGGTGTGGCACTGTAAGATAAGCATTAGACTTCTAACTGCAAGGTTGACGGTACAAACCTAACAGCCATTCCTTGGAAACACTATTAAGTGCCATCGAGTCAGTCCCGAGCCATAGGAAACCCTATACAGGGTGTTTACGAGTCAGAACCAACTCGACGGCACTTCACAACAATAGTCAAGGAGTAACTTATCTGTAATAGAAATGGTAGAATAGGAAGACAAAAAATCCCTTAGAGAATGTTGTCCAAGTTGTCTGAAGAAAGTTTTCCTAATATCATGAAAGACAAGAAGATAGCTATTCAAGAAGTTTAATGAACTCCAAACAGGATGGATCCCAAAAGACAAACATGAAGACTCAATCAAACTTTTCAAACCAGATAAAGAATCTTGAGAGCAGCTCTGGAAAAATGAAAAGTTACCTACAAAGGAGAACTAATAAGAGTAAGCTCTGATTTCTCAGCAGAAACCATGCAGGCAAGAAGACAATGGGAGGTCATACAAAACTCTGCAAGAAAGAAATTGCCAACCAAGAGTCATATATCCAGCAAAACTGTCCTTCAAATATGACAGTGAAATTAGGCCACTTTTAGAAAAACGAAAGAATTTGTAAAAACTAGATCAGATTACTAAAGGGAGTTCTTTAGACGCAGAGCAACAGCAGATAAGCATCTGAGACTAAGATAAATGACAATACAAATTCGTTTCCAGTGTACGTGGCATAGTCTCTAGAGTCGGCCATGTTAAGCCACAAAGCAAGCCTCAAGAAATGTAAAAACATTGAAATGTACTGCAAAGCATCTTCTCAGACTACAGTGCTATAAAATTAGAAATCAACAACAGGAAGATTAAAGGGAAAAAATCAAATACCTGGAAACTGAATAGCACCATGCTTCAAAACTACTAGGTGAAAAAATGAAATAAAAAAATCCCTTAAATCAAATGAAATTTAAAATACAACAACACAGCAAAAGTACTGTTCAAAGGACAGTTTATAGCACTAAACACAAATATTGAAAAACAAAGAACCAAAATCAACATCTTAACCCAACATCTCTAAAAATTAGAAAAAGAACAGGAAAAAAAATCTATAGTTACCAAAGAAAGCAAATAATATTTGAGCAGAAATAAATGAAACAGGACTAGAAGTTGGTTCTCTGAAAGGATTAATAAAATTAACAAATCATTGGTAAAGTTAATGAGCAAATTTCTAGAAATATATTACTTACCCAAGCTAACAAAATCTGAAGTAAAAAACTTGAACAGGCCATAGTCTTGGTGTGTGTGGCTCTTTAGGATTAGCATTGGACTGCTAATCACAAGGTTAGGTTGGTGGTTCAAACCCACTAACTGCTCCTTGGAAACCCAGTGTAGGGTCACTGTGAGTCAGAACTAACTCAGTGGCACTTAACAACAATATAACAAAAGAAGAAATTGAGCAGATCATTAAAAAATATATATTCCTAACATCAACCACAAAAAAGTCCTTGCTCAGAAATTTTCCCTGATGAATTCTACCAGACAGAGTAGAGCTGACACCAATCCTACTCCACTATTCTAGAACGTTTTCAGTGGAATGGAATGGAATACTTCCAGCCTCATTCTGTAAAGCAGGCAAGACCCTGGTACCAAAAGTAGGCAAAGATAGCATTAAAAAATAGAATTATAGACCAGTATCCCTCATGAATATAGATGCAAAAATGCTTAACAAATTCCTAGCCAATTGAATATTACAACATATCAAAATAATACATCATGAACAAATTGGGATCATACCAGGTATACTGGGATGGTTCAACAGTAGAAAAGCATCAACATAAATAAATACGGCGTAAATGAACAAATGAAAACCACATGTTCATTTCAATTGATACAGAAAAGCCATTTGACAAAATCTAACACCCATTCTTGATAAAAATGCTCAGCAAAGTAAGACTAGACAAGACGAACGTTATTTTCACTAGAAAGACACTGAAAACATTCCCCTTGCAGATGGGAACCAGACAAGGATTCCTGTTGTCACTGCTCCTATACTTCAGTATTTTATTGGAAGTCCTAGCCAGAGCAGTAAGGCAAGAACAGCAAATAAAAGGCATCTAAACTGGTAAGATTTTATATAACCATAGACAATACCAAACCTCATCAAGAAAATTAATAGATTAATTCAGGAGAGTGGCTCAACGTATAAAAATCATTCAGATTCCCTTATACTAACACTTTTACCCACTCCACCACCAGGGCTCCTCCTGTATGACACCAGTACTGTAAACAGGCTAAAGCTTTGCTTACAGAAAAGAAACATTCTTTGAAGTTTATCAGGGATGGGAGTGGAAAGGAGGGTGAATCACTAATTGGAGTGTAGCTACATATTAACTTGGGTGAAGGAAAAAGCAATATACAAGAAGGGAGAAGAACACAAAATGATGAAAGCAAAGGAAGATAACTGGGGGAACACAAGAATTAAAGGCCACAAATGTAAACATTATTCCATACAGAATATTGTAGTACTAGTAATAATAATAATGTCCATAGATATTCACTCAGGCTGAACAAGGCTGGGAAAGTGAATGGGCTACACAGGAATATATAGGTGTGACAGGATATTGCTGCATGGGCATTGATATGTGCTGTAAGTACATCCATGAATGCAATAGAGCATATAGGAGGTAAAGTTATGAAGATGTCTTATCTATAACCAAAGACCTTGAAGGAATGAGTCACTAGACCTGGCAGCTCAGCACCCTAGTCTCCGGGGACACTAAGGTCAGTTGGTTTAACATAGTCCTCAAAGACAGTATTCTATGTCCTACTTTGGATAGTCGCAACTGGAGTCTTAACATTTTTTGGACCAAACTATTGGTGTCTCCTTATGTGGAGCAAAGAAGAGTGAAGAAAATCAAAGATGCAAGGAAACAGTTAGCCCAGAAGACAAATGGACTACACAAACCACAGCCTCCATGACTGTGAAACCAGAACTAGATGGTGTCCAGCTACCACAGCTGACCACTGTGAAAGGGATCACATTTGGAGGATTTGGATATAGCACAAGAAAAATGCACAACACAACTCAAAAAATAAAAAAAAAGGCAAGGCTTACTGGTTTGATAGAAAGTGATGTGCTCCTTGAAACTATGGCCCTTAGACACTTTTCAGGTCTGAACTGAATTCACCCCTATGGCTCGGCTTCAAGGAGGTAGAGTCAACTATAGGAGACTGAAAGGGCAGCGTTTACCAGCAATAAAGCTTAGATGCCAGGAAGGGAGAGAAAGACAGATGCCTGGAAATGGTAGTCCCCGAAGCATGGAGATTGCAGTCCGCATCATCGATCAAAAGGTGTATGAATTGGTGACTGGAAAACCAATTTGCTATGTAAACTTTCACCCAAATCACAATGAAAAGTTCCTGTGTTCCTGATGGATAGAAGTAAATTCCCCTGAATCATTCATGGGTGGAATTTGAATGAGCAACTCTCTGGGGAGGGGATGCAGTGTTTGCATACATTCATGAGTACCTAGTGGTGTTGTCTTTAAATCTGTGTGTCTTCTCCTCCCCATGACCAACTCCTCTTGTCCATCTTCCCCCATTTGAAAAATAAGAACAAAAGGCTCTGTAAAATTTGGTGTTTAATAGAGCACCCCACATTTTAATTCATTAGGAAGTAAGGAGGCATATGTTGTGTTTTCCCAGTTAAGGTACATGGACAGCAGAGAAGATGAGCAGGTCCGCGGGATCACCATGAAATCCAGTGCCATCTCACTCCACTACAGAACAGGTAAGCCCCTTAGTGCTATTGGGTGGGCCTCCATTGTTTTGCTCTGTAGTCCGCATCTTTCTCTCTGGCCTCTCCACATGACCTGTTGTCAGAGGCAAGCTGTCCAGGCTTGGGGGCAGGTGAGGGCCTTTGACTGGCTTGAGGGCAGAAGTTCTTCTTCCCCACTGCCTCGTCTGTGGGGTTGGCACAGAGGGGTGTGCTGTAGGAACATAGCTCTAACCTCTTACAAGATCAGTCTTACAGATATTTTTGTATCACATCAGTTTTGAAGCTCTTATGCACATGAATTCCTATAGTTCAGTATTTAAAGTGGGGTCCTTGGTGTGGTGCTGTAGGATAATCACTGAACTGCTAACTGCAAGGCCGACGGTTCAAACCCAGCAGCTGTGCCTTGGAAACCCTATGTAGAGTCGCTATGAGTTGGAACCGACTCGATGGCACTTAATAACAGCTTCATTTAATTTTTTTTTTTTTAATTTGTATTTTAAAAGGATATGGCCTAATACTGTGATACAGAGAGAGGGTCAGTTTTTTTGTTCTCTCTCATTATCTTATAGATTTCAGAGATTTGTACTCTTCCGTTTTCCATACTCATGTATATTAGAAAAGAAGGAAAGAAATGGGAACAGATGAAGGGAGTAGAGAGAGAGAATCAGATCTCTGGCGTTGTAAGAACCTGAGTGGAGATGTCTTACAACTGTTGGCAAATCCCCTGGAGTGACACTGTGGGATTATGGGTGTAGAGGAGGGAAAAGCTGGGTCTGGCATACCATCTCCATTGCTGATGCCAGTACACTTCTTCTTAGGACTCAGAGCCAGCCCCTCAGCCCACGTAGTGTTGGAGAGACTTTCTCAGGCAATGTGATGACTCTGAGGCAGTCCCCATATGGAGGGAGGAGGGAGAGGGATAAGAACCAGGAAGATGGCTGAACACACCCACACCCCCACTTACAGCCAGTGCCAAATCCTCCTGTAACACAAAGCAGAATGGTTTAGAACAGGCATAAGGCAGAAACCGAGAGTCTGGGTTCTGAGGTCCTTTTGGTGGTGAGGGTAACTGTCCGGCCTCAGGCAGAACAGAGAAGCAGTCTACCACTGTATTTAGAAGTTCAGGGAGGTCGGGTGGGATGGGTAGCTGTTTAGAGGAGTGGGCTGAAGAAGCTAATGCATCTCTTCCAGGTTCTGGTTGGGAGGCAGTGATGAACTTAATGGCCTCTTGAAGTAACAGCTGCACTAATGACTGGTTTTAGTGGTTGATGTGTAAATTTGAATAATAGTATTAACTGGTCTTCCTTGTTGTTGTTAATGTGCTGTTGAGTCGATTCCAACTCATAGTGACCCAGTATTGGGTTTCTCAGGAGTGGCTGGTGAGCTTGAACTGCTGACCTTGCACTTCAAACTAACCTTGCTGTCCAGCGCATTAACCCACAGCGTCACACCAGGCTTATGTGTAACAGACAGCATTGTACTTCAAGATTGATCTTGAATTGTTCTTTTTGATGATGAATGCAACGCCATACCTTTTCAATTTGTCATTCCCTGCATAGTAAACCATGTAATTGTCAGATTCAGAATAGCTAATACCAGTCCATTTCAGCTCAGTAATAACTAGGATATTGGTCTTTTTGCGTTCCATTTGATTTTTGACAACTTCCAATTTTCCTAGATTCATACTCTGTACATTGCATGTTCTGATTACTAATGGATGTTTCTAGCTGTTTCTCCTCATTTTGAGTGGTGCCCCATTTGCAAAGGAAGGTCCCGAAAGATTGACACCGTTCCCATCACCATGGTCAGCTCTACTTTGAGGAGACAGCTCTTCCCCAGTCATATTTTGAGTGCCTTCCAACCTGCGGGGCTCTTCTTCCAGGACTATATCTGACAGTATTCTTGTGCTATTCATCATGTTTCGGTATTCAGTATTCTGGTGCTGACAGTGTTCCACTGCTATTCATAAGGCTTTCAATAGGTAAACATTCAGATGTAGACCACCTCTCTTTCTTCCTCGTCTGTCTTAATCTGAACATTGCTTAACAGATTAGAATAATACATTTCTTTAGCATTTTACAAAGATGCTATTTAAAATCACTAGTACTGTTAATTGTTGTGGAGTCAGTTTGGACTCACAGTGATCCTGTGTAGGGTTTCCAAGGAGTGGCTGGTGGTTTTAAGCTACCAACCCTGCAGTTCAAACTGACCTTGCAGTCCAGTACTTATTCTACAATGTCACCCCAGAACTCCAGTACTGTAAATGGGAATTCCTAAATTTGAATGATTGCTTTGAGGTTATTTTTGGCTCCTTTACTGTCTTATTCCAGAATGCTTGAGGAAAAGCACTGCATAACTGCACAGTGGAATATGTGTTTTATATAAATTTTTTGCAGGTAGCGAGGAGTACCTGATTAACCTGATAGACTCTCCGGGACACGTGGATTTCTCCTCCGAAGTATCCACAGCTGTTCGCATTTGTGATGGCTGCATCATTGTGGTAGATGCCGTGGAAGGAGTCTGTCCACAGGTAATGGATTGTAATGGGGAAATCTTGAACTGGTTCTCACAATAACCATTTCTCTGACAGTCAGACCAGGGGTTTATATTTCACATTTGTGCATAGTCCAGGCTAACAAGAGATGATTCACCCAAGTTTTGAAGGGATCTTAGCAATAAAGAGTTTAACTGTAGATACTTTGAAGTCTGAAGTTCTTAGAGAGACTTCAGCAAGTATGGGAGAAATGTGAATGCTGGAGGGATCTGAAAGTTTCACTCCTATAGAAAAGGCTGCTAGACATTGCAAAAGGCTGCTGGTAGCAAGATAGTAAACTAGATCTCTACCAGATTGGAGAAATGCTTTTCTATTGACTTCCCGCTCTATACTTCTTGCCCCTACATACTTATACAAACACACACTCTGTCACTCACACACATTCCCTGCCCCTCTTTTGCTTGTCTATCCATTACTCACTGGTCTCTATTCACTACCCACTGCTTGTTAACGTTTCAATCAGAATTGGAAAAGATCACCCGGAGGAGGCAGAGCTCAAAGTGACTCGCTTTAAGTTTATTTCTTGTAATAATTTTTTCTTTGAAATCTTATATGTGTTTTTTTAATAAAGAGACTTTTTTATATTCTACCTTTTAATTTGGCCATGTCTGGCTTAATGTTTAAAAAAAAATGTATACTCAAATGAAGGAAATTTGGATAGTCTAAGATGGTGTGCAGTGATTATCCTAAAACCACCGTTCTCTGTCCCCCCAAAGGCACAGGTAATGTGACAAGCACGGCCTTACTCTGTGTACAAGCTTAGCTTGCTTTATTGTATTTTGCTTTCTTGCGCTTCACAGAGACTGCATTTTTTGTCTTTGTTTTGTTTTTTAACAAATTGAAGGTTTGTAGCAACCCTGCACCAAAGAAGATCAGTGTCATTTTTCCAGCATCATTTGCTTACTTTGTGTCTTTGCTGTGGCACGTGTGCTTTGGGTGGGTAAGAATAAGATGTAATCATTCTTATTTCCTGCATCCGTAATTGAAGTCATCCTAAAACTGTCCGTTCCTAAAGGCAAGAACCTATCTGGTCTGAAGTTCTTTGCTGTGTGTGATATGTGTTTGGTGAACACCTTCATCTGACTATCATTGTCTGAGATGTAATAAAGGAATATGGGAAGGCGATGATTATTAATGAAGATTTTCTAATGTGGTTTAATTACGTCATATTATGAGATTTATACTTTTATTTCTGTTTTAATCAGACGCAGGCAGTTCTACGACAAGCCTGGCTTGAAAACATCCGTCCTGTGTTAGTGATTAATAAGCTAGACCGCTTGATAGTGGAACTGAAATTCACCCCGCAGGAGGCCTATTCTCACCTGAAGAATATTTTAGAACAGGTATTTTATCATCTACCTCAGTGTTGCATAGATTGGGACTCTAGAAGAGTTGGGAGGAGGCTGCTGAGTTGGCTGTGAGGCACTGCTACGGAAAGCTCACCTGTAGAGCTTTTGTCTCACGAGAGTTCTGTGTGTTGGAGTCCTCGTGCTCCAACAGAGGCTGCAGGACACACATGGTCTCAGGAGCCTGTCCATTTCCTGGAAACACTGTTCCGTCTACAGCTTGGAAGATCGGTTTTAACGCTCTTGTTAAGTGCCTAGCAGTTTGGTTTCAAAGTGAAAGCAGTATATGGAGGCTCTCTGGTATTTTGTTTTCTGTCTTAAGATAAAGTTTTCCCCAATCCTTCTTTCATGTATTTATTCAGCAAACACATAAATATGTGTTGATTAAATGTATTTTTTAATGCCTTTTGTGTAGTACCCACTACCCCACAGCCATCAAGCCAATTCTGACCCTATGTTGGGTTTCTGAGGCTGTAAATTTTTACGGGAGCAGAAAGCCTTCTCTTTCCCTCAGTGATCGACTAGTGGATTTGAACTACTGATCTTATGGTTAGCAGCCCAATGCATAACTCCATTACGTGATTGTGGATATAAAGGTGGACATGCTAGAGTCCCTATTTTCAAAGTGCTCATAATGTGGTAGGGTAGGCCAACAGTTAAGAGATACTTAGATAATGGTGAGGTAAGCACTGGACTTAATTTAAGAGCATAGATAAAGACCACCTAACCTAGACTGGGGTGAAGAGGGGAAGAGTTAGGAAAAGTCCCACAGCAGAAGCCTGGAGATGCAGGAAAGGTTAGTCACTTGCCAGGTAGAGAATTAGTGGAAGTGGGCAGATGAGAAAGAAGGAACAGGATGAGCAAAGTCATAAAGGCCAGAGCATGGTGGTGCATTGTTGCCATCAGGGGCTACAGGTGATTGTTATAGTGGGAATCAGATCATGCTAAGCAGGGTCAAGAAGGAGCTCTGGTAGCGTAGTGGTTATGAATCGGGCTACGAGCCGCAAGGTCAGCAGTTCGAAACTACCAGCTGTTCCGCTGAAGTAAGATGAGGCTTTTTGCTCCCGTAAAGATTTACAGCCTCGGAAACCCTGTGCAGGGTCACTATGAGTCAGAACTGACTCCATGGTACATAACAACAACAACAAGAAGCAGGGGCAAGAAGTGGCAGTCGGAAGGGTTACTGATTATGGTGAGCCTTGTATGTGTAGGAGTTTGAACTTCTTCAAGACAGTGAAAAGCCATTGATGAGACCAACAGGAGGATGTTTCTTTGCTAATGGGAAGAAATGCTAGATACAAATGACATCCAGGGAGTTTGTCATTTGTGCCTGTTCCTGCCAGTGGGCAGTGATGAAGAGTGAGTGCTAGAGACTCTAGTGTCCTAGAGAGCCAGACAGGGACAGGCACCGATGACATACTTCCCTGTGAGGCGGGAGGACTAGTGGTATTTGCAGATTCCAACAGGCTTATAGATTGGAGTCCTGCTGTGGCGCTGTAGGATAAGCACTGGACTGCTAACCACAAGATCAGTGGTTCAAACCTATCAGCCACTCCTGGGAAGTCCTGTATCAGGTCTCTGTGAGTTAGAACTGATTCAATAGCCTTTCACAACAGCACCAGAGATTGGAAGGAGAAAGCCTGGTGGTGTCGTGATTAAGTGCTTGGCTGTTCCTTGAATGGGTTGGTGGTTGGAACCCACCAGCTATTCTGTTGGGGAAAGATGTGGCCGTCTGCTCCTATAAAGATTCCAGGTGTGGAAACCAGTTACGGAAACCCTCTGAGGCAGTTCTACCCTGTCCGAAAGATCACTATGAGTTGAGTTTAGAGATGAGGCATTAGAAGGAAAGAAGGAAGCCTGAAGAAAGAGGTGACCATTTTAATCAGCTGATATGAGACATGATAGAGGGAGTTGACTGTTGTTCCAGGGTTATGAGGGTTAGAAAATCATGAGTTCCTAACGACACCAGGACCTGGTACTGAACAACGAGGTAAAGATTTGATACACTAGTGTTTGCCTTAACCTAATAATATCCATAAAGTGACCTTTCACAAGCCCATATTCTGTTTTCCTGTGTTTAGAAACAATGAGTTTGATAGCATGTAGCTATATGTTGATCATTGGTTATAAATGTCAGCTCCACCATGTGTGCTTAGTATAAGCCCAAACTCTCACTGATGATCCCAGCCCTAGCATGGGCTACACAGTGTGTCTCCTACCATGAGCGTACTAAGCAGCTGAATGACCTTCTGCCATTTCACCATCTCTCCTAGATTAATGCACTCACAGGAACTCTTTTTACTTCTAAAGTCCTAGAAGAAAGAGCAGAAAGGGACACTGATTGCCAAGTGAATCCCAGTTCTGAACAAGGAGAGCAAGTGTATGACTGGAGCAGTGGCTTGGAGAACACAGATGATTCGCACCTTTACTTCTCTCCAGATCAGGGAAATGTGGTGTTTACAAGTGCGATAGATGGGTGGGGCTTCGGGTAAGTCTGTTTGCACCTCATTAAATCTCCTTAATTTCAACTTTTCATTTTGAAACAATGTTAGATTCTTTCACATACAGTTATAAGAAATAAAACTGTAGAGGTCCCATGTTCCCTTCTTCCAGCTCTCCACCGTGGCCACCTGGTCATCTTGCAGAACTCTCTGTAGTCCAGCGTCACAGCCAGGCTGTTTTCCTTGATGCAGTGTTGCTATCAGGCATGACCATCACCACAGGGGTTTCTCCTATACTGCCTACATAGCCACACCTCTCCCCCAAAGACCTGGCAGACACTAATCTAATCTCCCCATCATTTTGTCAGTTCAGGAGTGCTCTGTAAATAGAATCATACATTGTATAAACTTTGGGGATTGGCTCCCTTTTTGCTCAGCACAGTTCTCTGTAGATTCATCCATGTTGTTCTATGTATCAGTGGTTTGTTCCTTTTTATTGTTGAGTAGTTTCCCATGGCATGGGTGCATCTCACTTTGTTTAATGACTTGCTGAAGGATATTTGGATTGGTTCCAGGTTTTGGCTATTATAGGTAAGCATAACATGTACAGGGATTTGGGGAACATGAGTTTTCTTTGTTCTGGGATAAATGTTCAGGTGTGAAATTGCTGAGTTATGTGGTAGTTGCATGTTTACAAGCTTCATAAAGATACCACACGCTGTTTTCTGGATTTGCTTGTACTGTTTTACATTAGCACCATCAGTGTATCCGTAATCCTGCTTTTCTGCATCCTTGCTGACGTTTGGTGGTGCCTTATTTCATATTTTTGACTTTGTGAGAGGCGTGTATTGATAACCTCATTGTGCTTTTAATTTACATTTCTTAATGGCTAATTTTGTTGAGTTTTTTTTTTTCTTTTTTTCATAGAGTTATTTGCCATCCGTGTATACTCTTAGATGAAATGTTTCTCCAGGTCTTTTGTTCATCATGTCTTTGTTATTGTTCAGTTTTGAGATAAACATATACATGCAGACTAGGCACAGTAATACCTATTTTCTCTCATTCTGCAGCTCATTGTAATGATGATTCATGTAGTCCTATAGCAGGGGCAGACCTGTTAGGGTCCTAATTCTGCTAGTGAGCCACCAGATAGGAGCTTCTCTTTTCCTTCTGATGATTTTCATGAATATTTTCATATTCTGCTCTAATGTTAGTTTAAATCACACAAGTTAGGGGAAGTTTACTATGGAAAAAGAAATAGAGAGATGCTTGAATGGACAGAATACATGTAATTTCTGAATCCCTCATACCTTCTGACACTTAGATATGATCCATCGTGGTGAGTATTCCCGAGTTTTAGGCAAGGCCGTATGGAGCGATCTGCAAGTACCTTTTCTCACCCAGCTGAGTTGTGGGGGTCTGGGGAAATGTGTTGGAAATGAGCACTGGAGGCACTTGCCTTTCAGTTTTTCTCTAAACTCTCAGTGAACGGGGAAGTTTGCAGATACATGTGTCACCAAAGGTAGACAATGAGCACATTTGAGAATCTGAAAGATGATTCTGTATACTCATAGAGTGACAGATTTAAGAAGTGTGACTAAGTGACAACCCAGGTACATTGTCCAACTCCGTTCCAATGGTAGATGTTAATCCAAGGGAATCTGCTCTGCAAAGCAGGAGCACACTGGCTTGGGAGAATGTTCATAAGTCTAACTTCTTGTTTAGGTAAATAGACCTGAGGCTTCAACCTTCCAGCATAGGGACAGAAAGGAAGAACCAAGGAGAAACCATCCATAGTCGTTATTTGTCTTTGCATGACAGTGTCTTAGAATCCTTTAGCATTAATTCTTTGATTTCTAGGAGGGCAAAAGGGTACATGGTGTAGTAATTTCATACTTGACTGAGTTGTCATTGAGGAGGATAGGTCAGGAAAGTCCTGAAAAATGTGCTCCGCAGGTCTTTTCTGAGGTTCTTGCTTGAAGTTACTCTTCACATTTAGAGGAAATTAAAACAATTCAGTAATGGAGAAGTTGAGCTCAAAACTGTCAGTGAAAATTATAACCCACCATTGACAGATGAATGAGTAAGAGCACTGAGCAATGATGGGGATGTGTTGATGCTCATAGGCAAATTTTGTGATAATTACAGGATTAAAAAGAATGAGCAGGATGAAAAACAAGATTTGTGTGTGTGTGTGTGTGTGTGTGTATGTGTGTGTGGTGCTGTAGCACTGGATTGCTGACCACATGGTCGGCAGTTCATACCCACCAGATGCTCCTCCAAAACTCTACATAGGGTGACTGACTGTGAGTTGGAACTGACACGATGACACTTAACAACAACCATGTGTATACATGCATACATACATACATGGTGGACTAGAAAAGGGTTTAAGGTTAGTTAAGCATCTGCGCTAAATTTCTTATAATTGTGATTTTGATACAAGTTTTAGCGTGGTTATGAAAATCTTTTATTTTTTAAGTCTTTAGAATTCAAAATAGAGTATTTATTAGACACATCCTTGTAAGAGATCTACATATTTTTAAATCCTGAAAATCTGAACACAGAATGTTTTAGAAACCTAATCAGTGAAAACAGTGTGGTGATAAATGCATGCAATTCTCATTTAAGGAGGTTGTTGTTGTTAAGTGCCATCCAGTTGTTAGCATATTTTAAAAGAAGGAAATTCCATAAAAGAATAAATTCCAACTATGCATGAACATGAGGCATATCAGACAGATCCTGAGCACCAGAACTTAGGCTGCAGTATGTAAGTCACTTGGGAATGAAAAGGACATAGATTCAGCAACATTAAAGGTAAAGCAGAATTTATGATGAGTGTACTAAGACATGAAGGTCATTTTATAATGACAGTGGACAGATTTCATTAGGGAAGAGATTAATTGTGTGTGTCAATCATCATAGCAACAAAGTGCATGAGATGAAAATAGAACTATAGAAATCAAGAGAGAGACGCATTGTTTGTAGGAAATGTTAACCTACCGCTGTAGGAGTGTTCTCAGGTCGTAAACAGACACGTAAACTATATGAATAATTAAAGTTACACTTCAGTTTCTATGTGTTGTTGTTGTTTTCCTGTCGTGTCAATTCCGACCCATAACAATCCTGTGTAGGAGCAGCTAGTGAACTTGAACCACCGACTTTGCAGTTCAAACTGACTTTGCAGCTTGATGCATTTGTCCATAGTGCCACACCAGGATATTAAGTGCTAGTAAAATATGAACAGAAATTAGTCCTGTATTGTTAGCTCATAACAACACTGTATAAGGTTTCTGAGGAGCGGCTGATGGATTTGAACCACTGACCTTTCAGTTAGCAGTCCAGTGCTAATCCTATAGTGCCATGTCAAGACTTGGCAAAAATTTAAAAAATTCAAGTTTAAAAACGTGAAAATATCGAAAGTTTGATATGCTAAGTTGTCATTCATCTCTAGTTTTGACCGTCTACTCAGGTTGGCAATATGAAGATCAAAGTTTGGCTTTCAGGACTTCCTGAAAAGTTAGGTTGGGAATGTCCATAGACCTGGAGATCTCTGCAGGAAGCAGCACCCTGGTCTCTCCTCCATGTGTTTGGTCGCTCAGGCCACGGTGGTTGCCTTCTCTTTTCTCCCTCCACATGTAAACCCGAAGACTTGGCTGTAGGCCCAGGATTGGATCTGCCATTTCGGTATTTACTGATGAAGATCGAAGAGCACAGCCTTCGGTATGGATTGCATCTCAATGTAAAGAAAACAAAAATCCTCACCACTGGACCAATAAACAACATTCTTAACAACGGAGAAAAGATTGAAGTTGTCAAGGACTTCATTCTTCTTGGATCAATTATCAACACTCATGGAAGCAGCAGTCAAGAAACCAAACGACATATTGCATTACGCAAATTTGCTGCACGAGAACTTTTTCTAGTGTTGAAGAGCAAAGATATCAGCTTGAGGACTAAGGTACGCCTGACCCAAGCCATGGTATTTTCAGTAACCTCTTGTGCATGCGAAGGCTGGACAGTGAATAAAGAAGACCATGGAAGTATTGATGCATTTGAGTTATGGTGTTGGAGGAGAATATTGAAAGTGCCATGGCTGCCCAAAGAACCAATAGATCTATGTTGGAAGAAGTGTAGCCAGAGTGCTCCTTGGAGGCCAGGATGGCCAAACTTCGTCTCATACTTCAGACATATTGTCAGGAGGGACCAGTCGCTGGAGGAGGAGATCATGTTTGGTAGTGTGTAGCGTCAGAGAAAAAGAGGAAGATCCCTGGTGAGATGGATTGGCAAAATGGCAGCATCAATGGGCTCAAGTGTGGCAACAATAGTGAGGTTGGCCTAGAATCGGGCAGTGTTTCCTTCTGCTGTACATAAGGTCTCTATGAATCAGTACCGACTCAGTGGTACCTAACAACAACAACAACTCCAGCTGCCTAGTGCTCCCCTCAGGTTTTCAGGGATTTAGGAGATTATTGCTAAGCGGACTTGAACTCAGTTCTAGTTGATATCTAGAGAAGCTATTTATTTCTTCAGTCAAGTGATTGCTTACTGTGGCTGGGGTTTGCAGTAGTACACCTCTGGGTACTAACTGGTTTCTCTGTCTGTAGGTTTCCCATTTAATCCAGGATGCTTACAAAAAAAAAAAAAGCTGTTTTCAGCAGGTGCTGGCTGTGGAGTTTGTTTCCTTTGTAAGCAACAGACATGTGTAGCAGTGAATGGCTAAAACCAGGTTTTGTAGGAGCTCTGGTAGCGTAGTGGTTACGAATCGGGCTGCGAACCTTAAGGTCTGTGGTTCGAAACTACCAGCCACTCTGCGGGAGAAAGATGAGGCTTTCTACTCCCGTAAAGATTTACACCCTCGGAAACCCTGTACAGGGTCGCTATGGGTCGGAACCAACTCGATGGCACTTAACAACAACAAAACAGTTGTGATAGGTATTTTCTTGGCTTTTGTTCCTATTACTTTGTTTATAAATGCAAAATGCTAGCATGTATCCTAATTTTGTGAATGGAAAGCATGTTGGACATGAACTGTTTAGCTTTGAATCTCTACCTCATTTATTAGCTGTGTATTAGCTCCATGCGCCATCTTCCTTTCCTTTAAAATGGGGGAAATGGCTCAATGGCTCTTATCTCCCTTATAGAATAGCTGAAATGATCATGTTTAACCCATGTAAAGCACCTGGCACAGAAAAACAGTCGAGTTTTAAGTAAAATTCATTGTAGCATTATACTGTTCTTATTAATGACGGGATCACTTGGTTTTCTTTCAGAATTGAACATTTTGCCAAAATCTACAGTCAAAAAATTGGCATCAAAAAGGAAGTTCTTCTGAAAACCTTGTGGGGAGATTATTATATAAATATGAAGGCTAAGAAGATTATGAAGGTTGATCAGGTAATGTGGCACATGTCCCTTGCGATTGTTAATCACAGCCTTCCCCTAGGAACATCTCTACCACCTTCCATGGATGTGATCCCACTTTAGCTTATGCAGATGAGTTCCTGAGGGATTTTTTGTGTTTGGGTAAGGCTCACAGTCTTATGTCTAGGTATTATGTAAATCGATTTCTTAGCCCTATGAAGTATAAGGAGCAAAGGATGGCTTTGACTGAGTGTCACTTTATACATGTTTGTTCCTTATTGATTGAAGAGGATAACATTTCAGATCCTAGACATGTGAAGATTTGTAGTTTGCATTGTAGATTTGCGTGTCTCCTTCACCATAATGTGACGGTTCTTGTAGACACCATTGTGTGGGCCACACTGTACCCCTGGCCCCAGCACAGGCCTTCTCTCACTACCTGCTGGGATTCTTCAAAGTTATTCTCATTGAAAAACAAACTCTTCAGGAAGTACTCACAGTATGAAGCAGCAAGGAAGAAACTAGGAACCAACTCTGTTCATGTTAGAGTTTTCATTTTTTCCATTCTTTTTGAGTAGGTGTATACACCCCTCAGTGAAGATTATACTGTTTATATAATGTGGTAGCCTGCCGTTCTGCTTAATGTCTTATGGTGAACCTCTTCTCTTGGCCTTAAAGACTTTTTTTATAAACAGCATATTTTTAAAGGAGCCAGTATAGTCAAGTGGGTAAGACCATGACTTGAGTGTCCAACTGTATGTTTGAATTTTGGCTTGACCACTCACTAGCTCTTTATTTTGGTTTTCTCATCTGCAAATTGGAGAAAATAGTATTTACCTTATAAAGAGTTCTTGTGATGACTCTGTGGAGTGATCTGTGTGAAGTCTTTAGAACCATTCTTACTGCGTAATAAGTACCTGTTACTGTTACTTGGAGTTCTGATGTGGTGCTGTTGGGTTAATGCGCTGGACTACAGAGTCAGTTTGAACCGCAGGTCTGTGGTTCAAGCTCACCAGCCGCTCCTCAGAAACTCTTATAGAGGGTCGCTGTTGGTCAGAACCAACTCAACGGCACATAACAACAACAACAATTATTATTTTGTGCATGCATCATTTATGTAGTCATTCTCTTAAGATTGGATATAATTGTTCTCCTTCCATCTACATATATTGATATTGTAAACAAAGCAGTGATAACCATCTTTGTCTTGATGATATTTTTTAAATAGACATCAAAGGTAATGGTTTTTCCTCGCCAAGTACCTACTCCCAATAAGTATCCCTTTAGAAAGGAGGTAGCAATTTCTCCTCCCCTCAGTGTGTTTGAGTCTCCAGCTTTTTGTGTCGTGTGTTCAAAGAAATTGTTGGTCAGGTTTTTTTTTAATTCGCCATTTCTTGATACAGAACATTTTTTCAGATGCTTAAGGTCATTTTGATTTCCTTTAATAGACTTCAGAGTGGCCGTCCATGTGTTGGCGTTAGCTCACAGCTTGGGTGTTCCTTTGATGCCAGTGGTGGGGCACCGTCAGTGGTGTGTTCCCCAAATGGCCGCATTGTTTGCAAAGTCCTTGATTCACAGAAGAAAGGAACACTGGGTTATTACTGATTTTGAATTGTTGACTGTTGAGAGCACCCTTAACTCCTTTTCTCCACTTTATTGTTGAATAAATATTTTCAAGTAAAGATGAGACATTGATAATAAAACACGTCAAGAATGAATATTTAAGATAGCTATTAAACATTCTTTTGTACAGGCCAAAGGAAAGAAACCTTTGTTTGTACAGTTGATCCTGGAAAATATATGGAGTTTGTATGATGCTGTCTTGAAAAAGTAAGTCTGTTATACACTGGTTTGTGTTTGGGTTACTTTAGGTAGTGTGATTTGCCTTACTTTCCAGTTTGCCAAGTCACATTTCAGAAAGCTGAGGTAGACTGAGAAAATGAATAGAGCCTTTATAGATGAGTTGCTTATGAGGCTTGGAAATAAAATTTAAAGGAGTCTGTTTAGCCTCCCAGTAAAAGGAGACAGAAGAGGAGATAGAAGAGCAGTATTTTGTAGAGTGCGGAGTTGAAGAGAGGAAAGGATGGGAAGAAACATTTACTTTCACAAAGCCAGTTAAAAAAGGGAAAACCATAATAGTTATAGAACAGGTGCTTGATGTCTAGAATCACAGATGGGGAATGGGACAAATAACTTGACTGATACAAGTAGAAAAGAAAGTTTGCTTTAGTAAATTTATTTTTTGTTATTGTGAAGTGAGAATAATGACTTTTTTAGTATTTATTTCTAAAACTGCTTACCCAGTTTAAGTAGATGGTGGAGTGATGCTTTAAGAGGCGTTTTAAAGACAGGTTTCTTTGAGAGTGTACCACTAGAGGAATGAAGGATGTAAGTTGAGCTTCCTCTACTGTGCCACGAGCCCTTGCCAATATGTTTAGTTTTTGATAGAAAAAGTGGAATGCTGTGGCTCTGTAGGATAAGCTGGACAGCTTAACACAAGGCTGACAGTTCAAACTCCCTAGCCATTCCCCACGAGAAACATGAGACTTTCTGCTCCTCAAGATTTCAAGCCACAGAAACCCTACCCAGGGTCTCTGAATTAGAACTGCCTTGACATCACCTAACAACAACAATGAAAAAAATATTTAGGACTAAATGACTCAGATAATGCTGAGCTCTTTTCCATCACTGCCCTCTCTTATCTCTCTGTCTCTCTTTTTTTAAATATCTTGTTTGCTTTCATAGGGACAAAGAAAAAATTGATAAAATAGTGACTTCTTTAGGATTAAAAATTGGAGCTCGGGAGGCACGTCATTCCGATCCTAAAGTCCAGATCAATGCCATTTGCAGTCAGTGGCTACCCATATCCCATGCTGTCCTCGGTATCCTTTATTTTAGTGGCTTTTAATGAAATCATTGTTTTGATAAAACAAGAAAAAAAAATGTGTATTTGGAACCAGGAAATTCTCTGTAAGTAATGGATCCCAGTTCAGAGTAAGTGTTCTGTGGTTATTTAACGTATTGCATGAAATTGTATTTAATACTTTAAACATTAATAAGCTAATACTAGTCAGTATTCGTACTAATACTAATGAATTTTTCTTTCAAGACTTTTTAAAAACATTTGCATAGTAATTGTGTAAAAATAAAACTTTTGGCATGAGATTTATGTATAAGTGCATTAATGTAAATATGTTGGATCTATATGATTCTAGTCCCAACTGAATTTAGCTTATTAATATTTCCTGTCATGTTAGTGACCCCATCTCCCCTAATGAATTAACGGGAAGTGCTTTATCTTGACTAAAGTCATTTTGCAAATGGATTCAAATGGTCTTCTCTTGATTGATCTGTGTAAACGTGGCAGTACCCACACCATGTTTGGGCTGGAGACACAGTGTCCTGGGAGCTTGAGATACCAGGCCTGTGACAGACACATACCCCATAGGGATACTGGCTGTCATAGGGAGCCTTCTTGTATCATAACTAGTGGCTGATGGTTATTGTGTTTTTATAGACTGAAGTCGTAGGAAACATGTGTAGAACGTCATGGTCACAGGTATGCTGTTATGCTCTGTGGCCCTCACTTATTCCATGGCACTCAGTGTTAGAATCTCAGTGTTGAGAATGATTTCTGTGCTTTAGTGAACAACTTGAGATTGTATGCATATTTTGAGGTGTGATTGTAAAATAATACGGGTTTACAGTCCTGGCGTTTTCTGTATAGACATACGTCGTTCCTGCAATACTTAGTGCATGCAATGAATCCTTGCCTATGGAGTATACTAGCTGAGACCTTTGAGTCCTTAACAGAGACTTCAGCTATGGTGTGTCAGAAACTTCCTAGCCCCCTTGATATTACAGCTGAGAGAGTGGAGAGATTGATGTGCGCGGGATCACAAATGTTTGACTCTCTTCCACCGGAAACCCAGGCCCTGAAAGCAGGTGAGATAAAAGATCAGCATGTTGGCAGGCAGCACACTGTTAATGGTTCTAGGTCCAGGATGCATTAGGCTGGTACGCCAAATGCTAGTTTGCTAAATGGCCAGTGTGTCCAATAACCAGTTTCACAAGTGGACAGTTTTATAAATGACCACTTTGTCAGCTTTGTGCAGAGTCTCAGTGGGTAGGGAGCCAGAGACCCTGAGGCGTCGGCTCTTTTCTCATTCCTTAATCATGAGCTAGGCCTTTCTCCGAAGTGTTCCCTATGATGCAGCCTCCTCACCGTGCCTGTGGCCCCAGGGGCTGCACAAAGTAGTTCCAGGGGCTGTACTGCTTACTACAAACAGTGGTTCAGATGTTCCCTCCAGTTTTTAAGCTTGCATTCTGGTGCTTTGCACCCCTCCCCCAAACCAGCCCACTGCTGTTTTCCAGGTCACCATGGACTCTGTGGCCAGTCTGTGGCCAGGTGGCTGTCAGTCCTCTCTGATTTGCTCTGTTACTGGTGCTTAATAATAGCAGAATGTTCCTTCCTCCTCAAAGCACTCTCTTTGCTTAATGTCCTGGCTCCCCAAATGTTCTGCTTTTCTTCCTGCTTCTTCACTCGCTGCTTATTCTCCATCTTTTCCTAGTTCCTTTCCATCTCGCTCTCTCAACTGTGGGCTGTCCCAGGCACGGCGCCTGATCACTGTTTTCTCTGTAATCACTCTTGGGGATCTCACCCAGTCTCACAGTAGCGGTTATACAAGGGGGCTTCAGAAAGTTCATGGGGAAATGGAATGAAAAGATGATGAAAATTTCCTGTGAATTTTCTAAAGCCTCTCCATATCCTTGTAATTCCCTCATTAATATCTGCTCCCAGAACTCCAGCTTCATAGTCTATCTCTACGTGGCTGCTTAAAAAACTTCTGAAACTTAAACATATCCCAAAGTCAAACCTGCTCCCTGTCACCTTTCCTATCCGGTAACCGGACCTCCATCCTTTGACTGGGTCGGGCCCAAACCTGTACTTTTCTTGATTCTGATTTTTCTCTCACCCCCACATCCCGTCTCTCTGTAAGTCTTGTTCTTCTTTTGAAGTATGTTGACACCTCAACTCCTTCTCAGCATTTTTAGTCTGCCTTCCTAGCCAAGCAGCCATCATCTCTCCTGGTTCTCCTCTGTAGTATTGTGTTAACACTGCAGCAGTGGCCCTTTAACTGTCCATCAGGGCATGTTATACTATGTTCCTCAGAAGCTTCCGAAGTGTCTCTGGTAAGACTTCTGATGTATGCTTCTTCTCACTTCCAGTAGTTTGCTTTTTCCGTATTTCATTTTAATTTGTTGATTACTTTCATTAAACTAGGAATTGTTTTGGTGTGGGATGATTTTATTAAAAAATTACTAGCCAATGATGTTGTGCCTCCAATATAGTGTATGCTACTAGTTGGTAGGGGGAGGAGTGCCACTATGCTGACAGGAAATTATGCTAAAACTTGGAGATGTCGGCAGAATTGACATCTTTTTGTGTTGAATCTTAATTTGTTTTTGAGAGATTTTGCTACTCTCATGAATAAGGAATTGTGTCTGCTTTATTTTGTGAGAATAGGGGGAACAATCCCTTTTTTTTTAAGTTCATGGGAAAATTCCATTTTTTTTAAATTCTATTTCCATGAACTTTTTTTTTTTTAATTGCCTGATTTTTTTAGGGGGGGGGGTTGAATGTTTTATTGTGGATTATGTGATAGTTTACATTGGAGAACATTAGGTTTACGTTCATCTTATCGTATATCGTTTCATTGCCATGGTTACAATCCCTCCATGCATCATCAACCAACCAAAGGGTAGACAGTACAAGCCTGCTCCCTCAGTCGTCAGCACACAGCCCCTCTCCCTCTCTGGGTCTAGAGTCCCCAGCCGCTCCATCTCTCCATGTCATCATCTCTGCCTCCATCTCTGGCATCACTTTCTCTGGGTAGGGTCCCGCTCTCCGCTCTTCTCCCTTAATGGTTCCAGTGACCTCCGCTCCTAGTCAACCACTCACCTCCTTTTGCTACAAAACGTCTACCTTTACATTTCCAACCCTCACAGTCAGTCCTGATAACAATTACTCACTATTGTACCACAAGGGACCTATCCCCATCTCCTTTCATCAGCTGCGTCCAGACAGATTGGATACTGCTCAGTGGAGATTCTACCTTCTTCCGCACCCTCTGGATCTAGGCTCCCTCTTGAAAGCTTGTAAGCCAGTCACTTCTTGCCTTTGTAGCCCCCCTATTTTGGGTAGCAGATGTCCAAGTTGCCCATCCCTGTCTACCCTGAAACGATCCATTTTTATATTATTAAACTACTTTGCAGTCTGTTGGCCCTTGGCAGCTTCCCTCAGTTCTCTGTTTACTGCGTAAGGGAAGAATTTCACAGCGAGCATAGTGGACAGTTGCAGTCCTGGTGTGGCTCTGTGGCTGAATTTCACAGCGAGCATAGTGGACGGTTAGAGTCCTGGTGTGGCGCTGTGGCTGAATGCACTGGGCTGCAGGGTGGGTTTGAATCACAGGGTCTGTAGCTCAAGCTTACCAACCGCTCCTCGGAAATCCGATACAGGGTGGCTATGGATCGGAACCCACTCGATGGCACTTTACAACAACAACATAGTGGCAGGTTAACCATCAGTGTTGATGTAGGAGTCCCTGTACTTTGCTCTGTGTTTGTTTTTGTCTCTTCATCTCTGCCGGCTCTCCTTGCTGTTATCCTAATACTCCTCTTCCTTAGCAGCCGTATACTTTTCTAAATGGATGGTTTTGTTTTGGGGTAGTTTTTTTTTTTTTTTCATATTTATAAACGATTATGGACTGCTTTTGTATTTAGATGATGACATATTTGAAACATCTTAACTGTTTCCCATAAAAATCAGGCTTCTTAATATGGGGGAAAAATACTGACATTTTTGCTTCCTCTTTGTTTAGCTTTTATGAACTGTGGGAGTGAAGACACTGCTCCAGTTATTATCTTTGTCTCCAAAATGTTTGCAGTTGATGCTAAGGCTTTACCTCAGAATAAGCCAAGGTAAGGCGAAGGGGCGTTTGGGCTGGGCAAAGAAAATAGCATTTGTTTGTGGGGTGTGCAGAGGGTGTGGAGATGAATGCAGAATTCATCTTGGGTAATCCTGGGGTAACGTGCAATTTGTACAGTACAATATCCTTAGAGCTATGTAGGAGAAAGCTGCTAAGTTTGGCTCTATAACTATTGATTTGCACCCATACAAAGTTGAAGAAGCGTCCTGGTGTGGTGCTGTAGGATAAGCTTGGTGTGTACCTCAAGGTCGGTGGTTCAAATTCACCAGCCAGTCCTCAGAAACCCAACACAGGGTCGCTATGAGTCGGAATCGACTCAATGGCACTTAACGGTGGCAATTTTGAAGAGAAATAGTAATTGCAAATAGTAGAAAAATAATACATGTAATAATGTAATAGTAGTGGCAACGTGTTAGGCAGGTTCTAAGCCTGCACTCTTTCATCTGTGTATTCCAGTGGAAATTGGTGAATGTGAGTGTCTCTGCACCGTGTGTATTGTGTGTGTAAGGCTGGGGAGGTTGTCTTTCTCCCCAAGTCTGCAGAGCCTGTCTATTCCACAGTGTCTCCACTGCCTGCCCCGCTAAATCCCATCCTCATGATCTCTTATGGGCATTATTATAGCAGCTTCCTACATGGCTCCCCTGGCCTGGTTCATCCTGAGTGGCCATCCAACCTGTCTGCCTTTTAAAAATTTTAAGCCTTTGATTTGCTGTTGTTAGCTACTTATTTTTCAGAAATTCTATTATATGCTTACCTGGTAGTAAGTTTCTGTTGGTAACATTCCATATGAAGTTTCTAGGCATGTCCTCTCTGCCCCTGAATCCCTGAGTCTATTTTGTTACTTTCACTTCCTTGAGAACTAGCACCTTCTAGTAATGAGATGTTTTCTTCACACAGATGCAACTTTTCTTCTTGGTCAGCTGACTCTCATCATCTTAGCTACCTGATAGTGTGGTACCAATTGCAGACTGCCCGCTCCCTCTGTCTCTGACTCTATGCACCTGTCTCTTGACCAAGCTCACACAGTCCAGAGCACAAACGTTCTGTTGGAAATCCTTAGGCGGAATGGGGCAGTGTTCTTGTTCCTTTTCCTTCGCCTCCAACTTCATCTCCCTCCTCATTCTCACCTCTGGTATTGGTAACTACTGTCGCTTCATGAAGTGTTGTTAGTTCAGCTTAGCCTAAATAGTCCCTCTCCAAACCTGTTCGCTTACTAGTAGAACCCAGTTTTCTTACAAAGGAATTACTTGTTTTCAACAAACACTGGATGCACCAGGAGTACGTCATATAAATCCTTGATAATTTCACTTTAAACAAAACAAGTGTTTATAGCATTAACATTAATTCTTCCTTGTGATTGCTTTTGCCACCTCGTGAGACCATCTGGGCCTGGACTTCTCTTTGTGAGAAGCCTTTCATTGCTAACTGGATTTCTTTAAGAGATAACACAGCTACTACTCAGGGGTTCTGTTTCTTCTCAAGTCAGGTTTGGAAGTGGTGTTTCCAAGAAACTTGTCTCTCTCATTGTTACTGAATTTATCGGCATCCAATTATTTGTAATTTTCCATAATTGTTTTTATATTGTCTGTGAGATCTTCTCTTTGATAATTTTTTTTAAGGGGGTGGGTGGGTGGGTGTAGGAATAATGAGTTAGGGTTAGGACTGTGACTAGATCTAGGCTAGGGCTAGGGCTTCATTTAGTGTTGGGGTTATATTTAGGACTAGGGTTAGTGTTAGAGGTGGGAATTCGGCTAGGGCAAGTTTTGGGGTTACAGTAGGTTCATTTTTATTTGTTTTCTTGAAATCAACCTGATTTCATCTTTATCTGGAAGTTCCTTGACTACATTATTCTTTTACCTCATGGTTTGTTGCTGTCATTGCAAACTGCTGGTATCTGTAGTTCCCTGTTTTCAGTCTGTAGATTTGTTTTACTTTGGATACTTCTGTATCTGGGGTGAGTGCTGGGTGGTACGGTCACACGTGTTAGTCTCAGGTGTTTGTCTCTTGTTCTTGGTTTTCTGTCCGGATAACTCTTGTTAAGTATTTTTTTGTAAGCTTAGTCTGATTTTACAAAATCTTTTAATTTCTGTTAAATTCCCTAATTTCACCATATTATTTGATGGACGATTTTGCTGGGTGTATGATTCTTGGTTGGCAGTTTTTCCCCCTTATATGTCATCCCACTGTTCTCTTGCCTGCATGGTTTCTGCTGAGATATCAGTCTAGTCTGACTAGTTCTCCTTGGTTAGGTAACTTCGTTGCTCTCAGGATTCTTTCCTTGTCTTTGGTCTTAAAAAGTTTGATGATAATATGTCTTGGTGATTTTCCAGTTCAAACCACAAGGTTGGCGGTTCGGACCCACCAGTCACTCTTCAGAAACCCTATACAGGGTCACTATGAGGAGGAACCGACTCGATGGTACTTAAACAACAGTAATCCCGTGCTTCTGACACCATTTCTGGTAGTGTATTTTCTGACTGTATTTTGGGCACTTGTTTCTTCTGTAAGCTGAAATGGATGTCTTTGAGACATTGTGGTATCGCCTTACTTATATTGAATTGATGATTATATATTGTTGTGTTGTCAGGATCTTACCACCTGTCTCCTGGTGGATGGGGTAAAGACTGGAAGTCTGAATGCAGTTCTCTGTTCACTGTGTAGTATAGTTCCGGGTGGGTTCACACTCCTACGGAAGCAGGAGCTCTCCCAGCTCCTGACCTCAGGCGGAGTAGAAGCTGTGTGGGAGGGGAGGGGATACTACTGGCTGCTGGGTTGGCAAAGGGAAGGACTGGCCACACCCCTGGCTATCAGTAGGGCTCGTGAACAAGGGAGAACGGCACTCCCCTGGCTGCTAGCCTCCAGCAGCACCCTGGGCTTGCAGACCACTGTGTCGCCAGCTGCTAGTGAACGCTCAAGGTGTCCTCGCAGCTCGACTGCAGCTGACAAGCCCACCTGAGTTTTTGTCTCTTTCGCTGCTCCTATTCAGCATCCTCTTCCAGCCGGCACACAGTCCATCTCTCTGTTTCATCCTCTAAAGCTCAGGACTCCAAGATCACTCTGTCTCTCTGTCACTTGATGTCCTGTCTTTGTTCCTGAGGGTCTGGTCCCTTCGTCCGAAGTCACTGACTTCTCTTTTGTGTATTTGTTCCCCTGCTGCTCCTACCACTGTCCTCGTGTCTGCATCAGTACCTGGCACCTGGTAGGTATTAACTGGTGGATGATTGGTGATCAGTACATAAATGGATATCAGTCCTTTGTACATTTGATGTTAACGGATATACTACTAATTTATTCCTGATCATTTGTCATGAACTTATATAGAATGGGAATTTAATATATGAGGTGAATGAATATGTATCTTTTCTAACCAAAGCTAACCTGAAATCACATTGACTTAAGAAGATGGTTTTGTCATTTTTGATTCCTTCTGAATGGGAGACTTAGACTGGTGATAACTGAGCGTAGAGTTTGGAGTCAGATGGATCGGAATTTGAATTATGGCACTTCTGTTTATTGGCTGTGTGACTTTGGGTCAAGTCACATAAACTTTCTACGTAAGCCTCCATTTTTTCATCTGTAAAATCGGGTCACTAGTATCTACCTGATTTCACTGTTGTGATAATATCTTCTGTGGTATATATAGGCATCCTGGTGTGGCGCTGCAAGTTAATGCACTAGACTGCAAAGTCACTTTGAACCTTAAGGTTGGCAGTGCACGCTCACCAGCTGCTCCTCAGAAACTCTATACAGGACTGCTATGGGTCAGAACTGACTTGACAGCACTTCACAAAAACATAGTATATGTGAAGTGATGGACACAGTGCCTGGATCCTTGTGGCAACCTCACTGGAAGAGGCTGTTCCTCTTGAGATGGTAACCTACTGATACACATTGTGCCCTCGTAATAATGTGTTCCTGCATTTGTGTTTTAACTCACACTTTTCAGATACTCTTAAAAGTTTTTATCAAGACTCTAGAAACATCTGAGGGCAAGTTGAAGGAACAGCTGGGTGTTCACCTCGAGAAGAGGACCCAGGATAAGGGTATGGGTGCAGATGATTTTAAGGGAAAGGGAGGGAAGTCGATTTGTTGGATCTTGCTCCAGAGTTCTGAACACTGGCCATGGCTCAGTACTGCAAGGAAGCAGTCTCATCCAGCATTTGAAAGGCCTACTAGCATTTAGAGCTTCCGGTCAAGAGGAACTTGTCACTTGCCGTGATCGTTCATCTTCCCAGTTGGATTGCCTAGCAGTTCTTGACCAGTTGTGTCTCAAGGACTTGTGTCTCGTGTTTTATAGCTTACGGCACAGTCTTGTTACCTACACTGGAGGGGTGTGTGACTAGAAGAGACCAACTTCTAGAGCTCAACTCTTCCATTTTGAGGGGCAGGTGCTAAAGGAGTCAAAACTAGCGCTCAGTCCCCATGAAAAGTCTTGTGTAGCGGAGAGGCATTTGAGAGGATAGCACTGGGCAGCTGGGATCTGGACAATCACCTTTCGGAGTAGCTCCCATGGAGTGAGTGCAGGTGGGGAGTGCTCTGTATTCAGTGCTAAAGGAAAGAGGAGAGAAAAGTGATTTAGAAAGGTGAGAGATGTGGGTATCAGCCAGTTCTCAAGTCAGAGAGCGGAAAGGAAAGCAGTAATCCTGATTGCCAAAGGTGAAGGCCAACAGGGTACAGAGACAAAGCTCTGAGTCCCAGAGTACTGGCCTAAAGAAACTGAGGTTTTCCCAACGTCAGGGCACCATTGGTCTTGCATTTGTCTTGAGGTTTAGCATGCTGGTGGGGTTTCATGAGGATCCCAACATGGGAAACGAGCCAAGTTCTGGGGATTTGTGTGTTTTCTTGTTTCTACCTCCCAGACTCCCAAACGGAATGTTCGTTTAAATTCATTAAATTCACCTTAGGCTCCCCCTTTGGTGTTAAAGCTGCAGCGCCTTCTCTGTGAACTGACAGACATGAGGTTAACTCTGTAGGAAGAATGCCTTAGTTCCTGCCCCTCCGCGCCTCCTTGCCCAACATCCAGCAAACATCTGAGCCTCTGCACACGGGCACGCACATACCCTGCCGTTTCCATGGTGATGGTTCCTGGGTCATTACGCTATGGCTGATTGTCTCAGTTTGACCTGTTTGTCCTGCTGAATTGCCATTTCTCAGCTTGACCTTGAACCCATACTTCTGCACTCAATTTTGGTACTTGAGGGGAAATCTAAATTCCTTATTGAGCCCTTGAGCTTGTTTCTCAGCAGGGGTGTTCAGAGCCCTGATATCTTTTACTCGATCCCTTCTTTCCCCCTGTTCTCTGACTCATCCAGAAGGAATATGGGGATGTAAGAAAGGTTTCATGCTGTTGTGCTTAGCTCCATCTGAGGACAAAAGGTTGTCTTGCATGTCAGCTCATAAGCTCAAAATAGCTGGGGACAGAGAGCAGCCTCACAGAAAACCTGCTCGACACTCTCTCCTGTCGCTGCAGCTGGAGAGAGCACTTGGAGAACCCTCTGCCGGTTAAGGAGCTGGGGGCTGCTCGGTGTCTCTTCTGCCACATCAGTACTTGTTTCCCCACTTGAACCGATTGACAGATGCCAGATGTTGCCAGCTGTTAACATATTTGTGATATCCTGTAGACCTCTCACTCAAGAAGAAATTGCGCAGAGGCGTGAGCGTGCGCGACAGAGGCATGCGGAGAAGCTGATGGTGGCGGCGGTGCAGGTAGCCGTGGAGCCCACACAGGATGGGAGTGCCCTTGAAACAAAACCAAAAGTAGAGTCAAGAGGTAGAGCTTTCCTGAACAGACTTTGGTGTGAGGTGCTTGGCGTTTTTCTTACCTTGGGAAACTCAACCTTTAGCATATGGGATTTTAGCTTTTATTGTAGCTTTTATCAATATTCTTGGGGTTTCTGTCTTGAATCTGGGTCAGATTTGTGGTGTTAACTCTTCCCTCTGATTCCAGCAGGTGGTGAGCAGCAGGCAGAGAGTATGGCCCCTAAAGCCGTGCCTGAGGGAGAGAATAAAGAAGAGTGTTTCATTGCATTTGCACGAGTCTTCAGTGGTGTGGCTCAAAGAGGAAAGAAAATGTTTGTCTTGGGGCCCAAATACAGTCCTGTTGAGTTTTTGAATCGGGTAAGAATCGGAAGAAAGCATTAGTATAGTGTCTCAAGGTTCTAATGTCTTTTCACAGTGATTGGGATTCATAGTTTAATTTTGTCTGTAGAAAGGTAATAAATATTATGATCAAATGTATCAGGAAGCTAACCCAGTAGATGAGGGAGCTTCAGAACGTTTTGGGGGAAATTCCATTCAATTCCATTTTCCACAAACTTTGTGAAGCTCCCATATACAACTTCATTTTCAGGACCTAATTTAACTATCTGGCTTTTCTCTTCAAGGCTAGTGTGGGGTAGTACTGTGTGAGGTAGAGGAAGGAGCTGGTCAGAGATGAAGCCATACGGAGCCGGGCAGTGTCTGATCGCTAAGAAAGGTGGGCGATCCAGTAACTGGGTGCTTAGGGCCGAAGGCATAGGTGGTCAGCCAGCAGGAGGCAGTTACTGCATGACATGCAGATTCTAGGTACCTGCTCAGGAGGGTCTGTAACCAGGTGGACAGCCAGCATCTGAAAACCCTGTGCCCAAGGGCAAACAGAGACCACAGGCAAGAGCTGTCTGAGAATACTTTTGGAAGTAAGCACAGTGTATCCCTCGAATTAAATAGTGAAGCTCACGTGATGATGAAGACGCCAGAGGTCCAGGAAGCCAGTTAGGATGTGAGTCAGGAACTTGACAGGAGGAAATGTGCAGCATCAGGAGCAGAAAGCACGTGCTCCCCTCCAGGCTGGAAGCTGCTTCTGGGCCCAGTGGCCAGCTGTCTGCAGGTCAACCAGTGGAGCCGCTGGACCTGCATACAAGTACTAGGAAGTGGAAGTCGAAGGAAGTCTCTGCCATCAGCTTACCCACCGTTTGGATGCTGTGTATGCTCTTCAGCAACTTAACTCAATTTGGGAGGTTGCAATGCTAAATGGGGTTTAAGCCATCTTTGCTGGGTTATGGCAGCTTCTGATTTATCAGGCAGGAGCCTTGAGAGTGGTGTGGATAGGGGCATACTCTGTGGGAGGCTGAATATAGCGTGTATAAAATTCCATTCATGAGGGACTTCAAAAAGTTTATGGAAAAATGAGATTACAAGATAATGGAATCTTTCCACAAACTTCTTAAAGCTCCCCCCCCCCCCCACACACACACACACACACGATAATCTTAACGTCTTGGTTTGAATTTGATGCCATAGGAAATTGATTTTTTTTATTGCTTTTCAGGAAAGGTCAAGTATTGGTTAATTTTTTTTCTTTTGTTTACTCTCTAAACTGACCAAATGAGTAAGAAACTTCTGTTTACTGGGCCACTGATTTGTTGGACACCACAGATGCCAGGAGTCTTCTGATTTATCTTCTGTGCCTAATCTCCATCTGCTCTGGAGGAGCAAAAGCTTAAAATCAATGGTTTATGTGTCGAATGACTCAAACAGGCATGATCAAAGGAGCCCACAGCACAAATGTCTCCGTGTTTCAGTAGTTCAAGCTCCATGAAACCTAACAGTGTGAAACATTTTAGATGTACCATAGCGGTCACGACCTATTTAGAATTTTGGTTTTGTTTTTTAAAGTTTTTATTGTGAATTAAGTGGGATTACATGGGAGAACATCAGTTTTACATCCATCCTATTGTATTTTGTTTCACTGCAATGATTACTATCCCCCCCAGGCATCATCAAACACCCCACAGGCCTGGCTCCCAGCTGTCAGCACACAGCTCCTCTCCCTCCCTGAGTCCAGTGACCCCAGCCGCTCCTTATGTCCAAGTCATCATCTCTGCCTCCATTTCTGACATCATTGCTTCTCTGGGTAGGGTCCTGCACTCTGCTCTTGTCACTTGATGGTCCCAGGGACCTCCGCTTCTGGACTGCAAAACCAGTCACACCCCTCTTTTTGTTACAAAACATCTACCTTTACATTTCCAACCCTCACATTCAGTCCTGATAGCAGTTATTCACTATTGTACCACAGGAGTCTTATTCCCATCTCCTTTCATTAGCCCTGTCCTAACAGGGTGGAAATCATTCATTGGAGATTCTGCCTTCCTCCACCCCCACCCTGTCTGGAACTAGGCTTCCTCTTGAAAGCTTATAAGCCAGTCACTTCTTGCTGTTGTTGTTGTTGAGTGTTGTCGAGTCGATTCCGACCCATCGCAACCCTGTACAGGGTTTCCGAGGCTCTAAATGTAAATCTATTCAGGAGCAGAAAGCCTCATCTTTCTCCCACGGAACAGCTGGTACTTTCAAACTGTTGACCGTAAGGTTCACAGCCTGATTCGTAACCACTACCAGAGCTCCTTTGTAAACCCCCCCTCCCCCCCAATTTGGGTAGCCAATGTGTTAAGTTGCCCATCCCTCTCAACCCTGTGTACCGATGGGGTGGGAGTGATCCTTGCTGTAATGATTTGTTCCCTTTTTTGAGCTACTACATCCATAAGTATAGGTAAAGTTCATCCAATTGTAGCGGGTTATTTTTTTTCCTCTTCTTTCTTCTAGTCAAGTTCTGATCATCCAGCCATTGAAGCCTGGTCAAGTGGGTGCTATCTGAAAGTATGGGTGTTCTTGTGCATCTCCCCTCACTTCATATCAGCTGGACGCTTCACTCTCCGCTCAAATCTTCTGTGGCCATGTCACTGCCTCTGGGCCCAGGAGACCCCAGGTCTTGCCATACTGCTGGCCAACCAGGTCTCTCTACCCGGGTTCACAGGAGTCTAATGAATATGGTCAGACTTAGCGCCCAACTTCATTGCTGTTTTTCCCCCTCTTCCCCTTATCAGTGACCAACGTGGTCATCAGCCATGCCATGTAGCAGCTTAAACCAATGCACATCATTTCCCAGTTGCTGTTGAGTTAGGAGTTTTGACATGGCTTTGAGTCTCACAAGGCTGCAAAGTGTTGGCCAGGCTGTCTTTTCAGCTGGATGCTTGGCTGGGGATGGATCTATTCCGAGCTCACACAAGTTGTTGGCAGTCGAGCCAGTCTGTCACATCCTCCTCCTTTCTCTATAGTCTGACAGCCTTTGCACTCCTACCACGAGTGTCAGTCAAGACCACTTTGGAGGCCAATTTGCAATTATCCAGTGAAGCTAAAGATAATAGCATTAACTGACATGTTTCCAAGCTTTGTATATAAGGGATCTTACTGACTTTATTTTTCTTCTACTTCTGTTTGAACTCATCACTGTGAGACTGAGACAAACCTGTACTGATGCTGATTCCTGGAGCTCATTCATTGTTCAACACTCCTTAGTAGTCCATCATCTAAATGCCTATTTTATGTATTAATTTTCCTGTCCGTCTATAGTTGGGCTGTTTTTTATTAATTTAAATGATGCTGTCCTGAATATTTTTGTACTTACCTCCTGGGGGGCATTTACAGGAGATTCTAGGGAGTACACCATAAGGGGAAATGCCTGGGTAATTAGTATGCAGAGCTTTAGTTTAACTGGGTAATTGCAAATTGTCCTCCAAAGTGCTTCTGGTTTGTACTTGTGGTAGGAGTACATAACCATTCTAATTGTTGTACATCCTCACCAAAATTTAGTGTTGCCAAACTTTTAATTGTTGCCAATCTAGTGAGCAAGAAGCTCTGGTAATGTAATGGTTATGAATTGGGCTGCTAATCTCATGGTCAGTATTTTGAAATTACCAGTAGTTTCATAGGAGAAAACTGAGACTTTCTGCTCCCATAAAGATTTATAGCCTTGGAAACCCTGTACAGGGTCGACCAGCTCCGTGGCACATGACCACCACCACCACCACCACTCTAGTGAACATGATAGGGTGTTTTATTGTGGTTTTCCTTTATATGTTCCTGATTTTTTTTTTTTTTAATGTTTATTGGTTATACCTGTTTCCTCTTTTTCTAAAGATGTCTCTTGTGGGGTCATTTGCGTATTTTTCTTTGGTTTAGTATTTGTTCTGTGTTTTTTTTTTTCATCTCCCAACATTATATCTTTTTCAGATTTCATCTTCAGTTTATGATTTGTCTTCACTTTCTATTTGATATGTGTTATGCTTTTAAGATGTTATTTAAGAAAATTTGAAATTACCCAAGTCATGTAGTTTTCTCATAAAATTTCATGTTAAAAGCGTTTAATTCAGTGTTCAGGTATACTATGAAGAAGGGATCTAATTTCATGTTTTTCCTCCTACAAATAGTAGTTGTTCCTAAACCATTCATAATTCTTCATTCATGATTCATTCATTCATCACCTATTTAGTCTGCTCTGTCATAAATTAAGTTTCACATGTATGTCTGTTTCTGGATTAGTAGATTTCATTTTTTTTTCTCCAATTTCTTACTGTTTAATTTTTCAAGCAATTTTTTCCTTTGTTGTTGGCTTGTTTTTTTCTCTTCCTTTTTTTTTTATTTATTTATAATTTTTTATTGTGAATTGAGTGAAGGTTTACAAAGCAGATCACCAGTTTTACATTCAACAAATATATACTTCGTTTAATTATAGTGATTGCAGTCCCCTCCATGTACCATCAGTTAACGCTTCTAGTCACTTGAACGCTTGTATTTTTCCTTCTGTCTTTTACTTTCTCTGTTCAGTGCTACCTTGCTTTCCAAAACTTTTGAAACCTAAAAGACTTAAGTCTTTCTATCTTGTTTTATTTTGTCTTATTTATTTTTATCTCTTTGTTCTTCTATGTAGTTTTGCAGTTGTTCTTGTGTTTAAGTACCATGGAGTCGGTTCTGACTCATAGTGACCCTGCACAGGGTTTCCAAGTTTTACAGTTAGGTACTATGAAAAGCCCTGTTGAGATTTTGATTAAAATTACTTTAAATCAGTTTGTTGTTGTTGTTAAGTACCGTGGAGTTGGTTCCGACTCATAGTGACCCATACAGGGTTTCCAAGGCTGCAAATCTTTACGGGAGCAGAAAGCCTCATCTTTCTCCTACGGAACAGCTGGTAGTTTCGAATTGTTGATCTTGAGGTTAGCAGCTCGATTCGTAACCACTACACTACCAGAGCTCCTTTTAAATCAGTTTAGCATTAACTATTTCAATATATAATCTTCCTATCCATGGATGTACTTAGTATATTTATCCATTTATTTCATCATTAAAGTTTTAGAATTTTCTTCATAAAGATCCTGAATAGCTTTTGGTTAGATTTATTCCTAATGCTTTTATATTTTATTGCATTATGAAAGTTAGCATTTCAAAGTTTTTGTTGTCTGTTGCTGCTGGGTTGAAGTACAGTTAAGTAGTGTACTTGTATTGTGTCACTTTGTCACCGTTCCCTGTCCCTGGGTCTATTGCCACTCACAGCAGCCCCAGACACCAGGGTTTCTGAGGCTGTGCAGACAGCCTCAGCTTTCTCCCACGGAATGAGTGCTGGTGGGTTTGAACTGCCCACCTTGTGATTAGCAGTCCAGTACTTGTCCTACAGTGCCACAATTGTAAAGATTTGTCTACAGTTTTAAGTCCATGATCACATTGTGTTTGGCTAGTTCTGTTTCCTCCTACCCAACTCTCATCTCTTTTACTGCTTTCTAAGTGTCTTTAAAGCTCTCACCCTATCAGAATGTGCACATTGAGAACATAGCATGTTGTCTGAAAGACCATCTCTCATGGAGTGGGTGGTCTCTACACTGCCTCTCCCCGCTCTGGGTTTTTATGAATGTACTTGCCAGAACTGCATCTTTGTGAGTCACTCTCTGTTTGTATTGTAATTACTTTGTCGATGTTGTGTCTCAGAGTAGCTGGTTTTGAGAGGATGAGGTAAGGAACTATTGTAGACATCTTTTCTCTTAGCACTATCATAAACATACCTTGGCCTTATGGGTACCAAGGATATGTTGGTTGGTTGATTAGAATACTTTCAAGGTACTTAAGGAGCTCTGGGAGCGTAGTGGTTATGAATCAGGCTATAAACCACAAGGTCAGCAGTTCAAAACTACCAGCTGTTCTGCCGGAGAAAGATGAGGCTTTCTGCTCCTGTAAAGATTTACAGCCTCGGAAACCCTGTACAGGGTCGCTATGAGTCAGAACTGACTCCACCGCACATAACAACAACTACAATATTTATGTAAAGGCTATGTGAGAGTAAGTAAAAAATATTGCTACAAAATCATAGAACCTTTTATTGAATAAATATGTCAAAATATAAAACTCTTGTTTCTTGACATGTCCTCTGTCTGGTCTGTATACTTTGAAGTCGGTGTTTCCATCTCTCTATCCCTTGTCCAAGGAATCTTGTGCTTTTCAGTTTACACCATCGCCAAACAGCAGTATTGGTAGCTTCACGGGACTCAGATTCTGTTTCCTTGAAATGGTTTTAGTTTGGGGAACAAAAAGAAAGCCTGAAGGGGCAAGATCGGCTGTAGGGAAGATGGGGCAAGGCTCACCAACAGAATTCTCCTGTTGTTGTGAAGTGCCATCGGGTCGGTTCCGACCCATAGTGACCCTGTATAGAGTTTCCGAGGAGCAGCTGGTGAGCTTGAACCTAGGACAGCTCTTACTGAAGAATAAGCAGGTGCATTGTTGCGATGGGAAAAAATGTCTAGGTGCAACTTTCCTGGCCTTTTCCTCATCAGTGCAATTTTTCATTTTCTGAAAACTTGTTTATAGTAAACCCCACGGTTGCCCTGTGTTGTCCACTGCCTCAATTGTTTCTGACCAGCAGATGCCCATGAAACTGCTGTTTGGATTGAATCTTTTGGTTTGTTTGTTGTTGGGATTTTTTTTGTTGGATCCTAAGGAAACTCAGACAGGTATATTACAGAGAGAACACTGAGCGCCATCTGTTGATCACAGATGTCTAAGCATGTTTTGTTTAGAATAAACCCATGTATGTATGAACCGTAACCCAAGTAGCCATACTTTTTGACTATGTTCCTATTTCTGATGGCTTCACGCAACTCAAGACTTGACTAACTTGAGGCAATATCTCCTTAAGACTAATTATAAGGAGATACCATAAATCTGTTAGCCTTGCAGCATATTGTGCTGTGTGTGTACTCTGTGTTCTCATCACTGTAGCTGATATTTCATAGCATGTTTTCTTCCATGTCACGACAGGCATTTGCCCTGTCATGGCATTTTTATTGCGTCTTAACAGCTAATCATTTTCATCTATTACTCAGTACTAGCCCTAGCCCTTTCTGCATGCATGAAGGACACTGTAATCAGATAAAAACCCATTTGGGATGACAGTAATGATGAATATTACCATAATAACCACTGGTCACTAGAGCTGGCCCCTGGAAATCACACCATGGTTCACGTAAATAGCCAGGGACTGTCGGTTTTGCGGGAGAAAGATTCAGCAGTTGACTTCTTTGGGAACCCTGTGGAGCAGGGTTGGTTACTTACAGGAATTTTGTATTCAACTAAAGTGGTGTTCAGGTCACAGCAGAATTTATGTTACTTGGCTGGAAAGCTTACAATTATATGAGCTCCTTGACAAATTTTTAGTGTTTGAGAGGTTTTCACTCTTTAAAAATTATATTCATAAAGTAATGTGGCTGTACCCTGTCTTTTGAATATAAATGATTTTGTAAGTACTAAAAAGTATTTTTACTTAATGTTTTCTAACTTGAGTCAAATGTTTTCTTTGCCCAGGTACCGTTAGGCTTCTCCACCCCAGCTGATGAGCTCCCCCCGGTACCTCACATGGCATGCTGCGCTCTGGAAAACCTGTATCTTCTGATGGGAAGAGAGCTGGAAGAGCTAGAGGAAGTGCCTCCAGGAAACGTGCTAGGTAGGGCAGTGCTGTGTGTGTGCACAGTTCTTCATATGTTTGTTGGCTGCCCGGATCTCTTCCTTGGTGACGTGTCTGTTTATGTCCTGCGCCCATTTTTTAATTGGGTTATTTGTCTTTTTTTTGTAGAGGTGTTATAATTTCCTATATATTTTAGAAATGAGCCCCTTGTCTGATGTGTCATTGCAAAAGATTTTTTCCCATTCTGTGGGTTCCCTTTTTACACTTCTGGTGAAATGTTTTGATGCACTTAAGTTTTTAATTTTTAGTATGTCCCAGTAATCTTACTTTGTCCACTTTTGTTTCTGTAGTTTTCAAAATGTCTGGTAGTCTGTGTATTCCCTAAATTAGTGCCCTCACATTTGTCCCTGTTTTTTCATTGATGGCCTTCATAATTCTGGGATTCACATTTAGGTCTTTAATCCATGCTGAGTTGGGTTTTGTATAAGGTGTGAGGTAAAGGTCTTGTTTCAGTCTTTTGCATATTGCATTCTAGTTATGCCAGCACCATCTGCTGAAGCGACTATCCCCTCCCCATGCAATGTATTTAGGTACTTTGTCAAAAAGCAATTGACTATATGTGGATGGGTAAATTTCTGGATTCTCGATTCTGTTCCATTGATCATTGTATCTTTGATTGTACCGGTACCAAGCTGTTTTGACCACTGTAGCTGTGTGGTAAATTTTTAAGTTGGGGAGTGAGAGGTTTCCAAGCTTCTTCTTCTTAAGCAGTGCTTTGCTTATCCTGGGTCTCTTTCCTTTGCATATAAAGTTTGTCATTGTTTTTTCCATCTCTCTGAAGACTCGTTTGAATCTGGATTGGGATTGCATTATATGTGTAAATTCCTTTGGGCAGTATTGACATTTTCACAATGTTAAGTCTTCCTATCCAGGAGCGTGGTACATTCTTCCATGTTTGTAAGTCTCTTTTGGTTTCTTGCAGTAGTGTTTTGTTGTTTTCTTTGTATAGGTCCTTGTTTCTCTGGTTACATTTATTCCTAGATATTTCATCCTTTGGGTGGCTATTGTAAATGGTATTGCTTTCCTAATGTCCTTTTCAACGCTGTCATTTTTGGTATAGAGGAATCCAGCTGATTTTTGTATGTTGATCTTACATCCTGCCATTTTGCTGAATCTTCCAATGAGGTCAGTAGCTTTTTTACTGAGTCTTTGGGTTTTCTACATAGAGGATCATATCATCTGCAAATAGAGAGAGTTTTACTTCCTCTTTGCCAATTTGGATGCCTTTAATTTCCCTATCTTGCTGTATAGCTCTTGCTAAGACTTCCAGCACAATATTGAATAGAGTGGCAGGATGACATATGGGGATCAAGTGAAGTAAAAATTTGTAGTATATATGGCATAAAAAGTCCTCCTTGATTCAAGACAGTTACCTGCTGGTTGGAAAAAAAGTCAAAAGTAGACTTATCTTCAAGGTTCCTTCTAGCTTTTAGCTTTTCAGGCTTGCATTTCTTAGAATTTTAGAAATTAAGATATTTCCCTCCCTTGTGTTTGTTAGAAGGAACAGTGTTTTAATGTGGTAATTTGGTTGGATTGATAACCCAGTTGAATGGCTTCATCAAAGCACTTTGAACTAGTTTCCAGCATCAGATTCATAGTTATCTGTTTAGACAAAATGTACTTGTTCAGTGACTAAAACTTGGAGCTCGTGTAGCAGTAGCAACAGTTAAGCCAGGGTGTTTAATAAAAACAGTTTTCTAAAGTTAGGAGTCAGTTATGAACAGAACAGAAAAGAAGGCCAAGCGTCTGGTGTGTGAAGAGGTGGGAAGCCAAGAGCCAGGTGATAAAGCAAGCTGGTTGCTGATGGTAATGATGCAGGGACTCCAGCCATCGGGTCACTACGGTGTCCATCCTGAAGAGGCATGTCAGGGCACCTTTGTTTTCTTTGAAATGGGTTTTTCTTTTCAGGTGTGTTTGAAATGTAAAGAATAAGATGGCTGAGTTTCATGATTAGAATTTGCGTGTTCTTATTACTTGTTGCTACAAAATAAAACCAAAACCTCCTGCCCTCAAATTAATTCCAACTCATGCTACAAAAGTAAAGTACTCAGGCTAGGAGGAGTAGTCCTGCTCTTCATGGACTCTACCAATAGCGTCTGAACTGACTCAAGAGCAGCTAACAACAACAAAACCTAGTGGCTGAACACAAGACAACTTTTATTTTGTTTACAGATCTGTAATTTGGGCAAAGTTTGGTGGGGACAGTAGCACATGGCGCTGTAGGGTAAGCACTGGACTGAAAGGTCTGTTTGAACTGCAAAGTCAGCAGTTCCAAGTCACCAGCCGTTCCTCAGAAACCCTACCTAGAAGGTCACTATGAGTCAGAACCGACTCAACAGCACTTAACAACAGTATCCCGGTTTTGGAGTCCTGGTGTGGTGCTGTGGGATTGGATCAATTGAGGCAGCTTCAAGCCTGGGATCTCTAATCATGAAGGTTCTTTCACTGGTATGCCCGGCTGAACCTTCACTGGAACCTGTAGCCTTTCCATATGCTTGGTTCCTTCCTCACAGCATGGTGATGGGATTCTATAGGTGAGCATCCTCAGAGGGAGAGTCAGGAAGAAATTATATCAGCTTTTATGACCTTGCCTCCAAGCTAAGTCAGCCCCCCTTCTGCTTATTAGAAGCGAGTCACTAAGACTAGCTAATATTCAAAGGGAGGGGAGTTTGGGGGTGTGCTTTAAAGCAACCACAACATTAATCATACCACATGATACACATAACTACAACATGATACACGTAACTACATGATTTCTTGTTTCCCTTTGTATTTTAGCAGACCAGTGGCAGGCACATGTCACTCATTAAGCCTATCAGGACAGGTCTGTACTCTACCAGGACAGACTTACAGACATGTTAACCTGAAGGAAAAAGTTGTGATCAGTATTTAATGAGTAAGCAGCTGACTCCACTATCCTGAGACCCAGACTCGAAGAACTTTATGGTGCCTAGCTGCCACTACCAACTGCTCTGCTCAGGATCAGAGTAGCAGTTCCTGGAAAGAGAGGGAGAGACAAAAATCTTCAGTCATAAAATAGACCAGTACAGACTGATAGCAACCCCAAGACTGCGGTTCTTGGACACTCATTCATCAAGCCTGGAACTGAACCCACCTCCTGAGGGGAGCGTTCCTCAAACAGCAGACAGGTTTGTAAAGTGAACAGTAACACTAGGGAGGAAAACCTGTGCAAGGCCAACAGGGTAACATGTGCCCTAGAACAAAGTTCAGAAGGCAGAAAGTGGCAAGGAAGAAGAGCCAAATGGAAGTGGGGACCCAGAGAGGACGTGGGAAGAGTGCTGTCCCTTAGAGGGAATTGCACGCAATGGCAGGAAACAAAGTGTGTATAAGTCGTTGAATGGAAAACAAATTAGCTCTGTAAACTTTGATGCAAATAAAGTTAAAAAGAAGAAGAAAATAGTAGAATGCACTGTGGCCGATACCCATATACTTTTTACTGGAAATGGTAGAGTCAGATTGACTAAGTACAGTTGAACATTTTTGTTGAAGAAACAAGTGAAAGCATATATGACATTCATAAGCAATTCAACATTATGTCATTAAATACAAATTTCACATTTGAACTCAGCAATAACTCACTGTGTGGCACTGTAGGATAAGCACTGGACTGCTTACCACACAGTCGGTGGTTCAAACCCTTAGTCACTTCTCAGAATCCGTGTACAGAATCAGAACCAACTCAATGGCACATAGCAAGAAGAAGAACTCATTTAGAGAATTTGTACTGACTGAGAAGTGTAGAGTAGATTTTGTGTTCTAGAAATAGGTGCGTTACAAGGTTAAAATTACTTAAATATTACCTGAAGTTTGTAAACTTGGGATGTTGCTGTTAATTGTTGTCGAGTCAGTGCCGACTCATAGTGACCCTGTATAGGGTTACCGGGGAACAGCTGGTGGATTTGAACCACTGGCCTTGTGGTTCAAACCAACTTTGCAGTACAGTGCTTATCCTACAGTGATGCACCATGACTCCAAAACTGGGTTGTTGTTGTTGTTAAGTGCTATTGAGTCTGTTCGGACTCATAATTTGGAATCATAGCGACCCTGTGTAGGGTTTCCGAGGAGCTGCTGGTGAGTTTGAACTGCCAACCTTGCAATCGAGTGCTTATCCTACAGTGCCACACCAGGACTCTAAAATCAGGATAGATGGAACCGAATAGAACTCACCGTGTTTAACACAAAATAGCTTTTTACTCAGTTCCCTAGTGAGACTATCTCTAAAAATAAATGTTTGCTGCAGACTGCTATTTTAAAATGTGAGGGGAAATTGAATTAGGATTCCACATCTTTAGCCTTTTCATGTAAACTTTCAGATCTATTCCAGATGGTTAAATCTTTAAAAGTTCAGGAACATATTCTGAGAGGAAACATGATGCTCTTCTCAGCATGAGGAAATTAATAAATATTAATTAGCGTACTTCTGAACTGGTTTTGGTTTTGCCTTGATTAGTTGCTGGATCTATAGGAAGTGTGTGTGTGTGTGTGTGTGTGTGTGTGTGTGTGTGTGTGCGTGTGCGCGCGCTTCCTTAAGTCAGGAGGGTTAACAAAGGAGTCAAGAGCCTTTGAAAGCTTTTATGAACAGATTTCATTTGACTTGATTATTTCGAGGGAAATCTCAGTAGTTTGTGACTCATAACTCGGGTTTTTTTTTGGTACTTTCACAATACTTTAACTATTACTACTCATGAATTTTTAAGCCACCCCATACTATTAATATTTGTACTTTGTTGTTGCTGTGAAGTGCCGTTGAGTCAGTTCCAACTCAGGAACCCCTGTGTACGGTTTCCGAGGAGCAGCTGGTGGATTTGAACTGCCGGCCTAGTGGTTCGTAGTGCTGACCCTACAGCACCTCATCAAGAATTGCTGTATAATTAGCAACCTTACAGAGTTTTAATCGTATAATAGTTGAAACTAAGTTTAATGGATTTTCTTTTACAGATATTTTACTCTCCTGTTTC